ATTGTTCAATTTTTCAGTTCTTCAATTTTTCGATTCTTCCATTTCTCGATTCTTCACTTTCTCCTCGATTCTTCACATTGTTCAATTTCTCAATTCCTTAATTTTTGGACAATTCAATTTTTGATTAGCTCTGTTCTTGAATTTCTAGATTTTTTCAATTCCTCAATTTATCAATTCTTCAGTTTCTCGATTCTTCACTTTCTCCTCGATTCTTCAAGGTTTCTAAACTTCGATTTTTCCATTGTTCAATTTTTTATTCTTCAATTTTTCGATACTTCGATTTTTCTATTGTTCAATTTGTCGATTCTTCAATTTTTCGATAATTCTATTCTTCAATTTCTCGTTTCTTCAATGTCAAGATTCTTCAATTTCTCGATTCTTCAGTATTTCGATGCTTCAATTTTTCGATTTCTCAAATTTTTTTGTTTCTTCCATTTCTCGATTCTTCAATTTCTCGATTTTTCAACTTTTCGATGTCTCAATTTTTCGATTCTTCAATTTCTCGATTCTTCAATTTCTCTTCGATCGTTCATTTTTTCGATCCTATGATTTTTCCATTGTTCAATTTCTCGATTCTTGAATTTTTGGATAATTCAATTTTTGAATAATTCTATTCGTCAATTCCTAGTTTCTTCATTTTCTCAATTTTCCAATTTCTCGTTTCTTCAATTTCACGATTCTTCAATTTTTCGATACTTTAATTTTTCAATTGTGCAACTTTTGGTTCTTCCATTTTTCAAGTCTTCCATTTCTCGATTCTTCAATTATTCGATGGTTCAATTTTTCAATACCTCAATTTTTCTGTTCTTCAAATTTTTTGGTTCTTTAATTTTTCGATTGTTCAACTTTTTTTATTCTTCAATTTCTCGATTCTTCAATTTCGATTCTTCCATTTCTCGATTTCTTTCTCCTCGATTGTTCAATTTTTTGTTTCTTCTATTTTTCGATTCTTCCATTTTGATTCTTCCATTTCTCGATTATTCAATTTCTCTTCGATTCTATAATATTTTAATTGTTCCATTTTTTCGAGTGTTTAATTTTTCGATTCTTCAATTTCTCCTCGATTCTTAGTCGGTTCAATTTTTCGATTCTTCATTCTTTTATTCTTCAATTTTCCAATGCTTCAATTTTTCGATATTAAATTTCTCGATTCTTCAGTATTACGATAATTCAATTTCTCGTTTCTTCAATTTCACGATTATTTAATGTCTCGATTCTTCAATTTTTTAATACCTCAATTTTTCGGTTCTTCAACTTTTTTGGTTCTTCAATTTTTCGATTGTTCGTTTTTTTGATTCTTCTATTTTTCGATTCTTCCATTTGTCGATTCTGCAATTTTGATTTTTCCATTTTTCAATACCTCAATTTTTCGGTTCTTCAAATTTTTTGGTTCTTCAATTTTTCGATTGTTCAATTTATTTTATTCTTCAATTTCTCGATTTCTTTCTCCTCGATTGTTCAATTTTTTGTTACTTCTATTTTTCGATTCTTCCATTTCTCAATTCTTCAATTTTGATTCTTCAATTTCACGATTCTTCCATTTTTCGATTGTTCAACTTTTTTAATTTTTCAATTTCTCGATTCTTCAATTTCGATTCTTCCATTTCTCGATTTTTTTCTCCTCGATTGTTCAATTTTTTGTTTCTTCTATTTTTCTATTCTTCCATTTCTCAATGCTTCAATTTTGATTCTTCCATTTCTCGATTCTTCAATTTCTCCTCGATTCTATAATTTTTCAATTGTTCCATTTTTCGACTCTTTAATTTTTCGATTCTTCAATTTCTCGATTCTTCGTCAGTTCAATTTTTCGGTTCTTCATTCTTTTATTCTTCAATTCTTCTATTTCTCGATTCTTCAATTTTCCAATGCTTCAATTTTTCGATATTAAATTTCTCGATTCTTCAGTATTACGATAATTCCATTTCTCGTTTCTTTAATTTCACGATTATTTAATGTCTCGATTCTTCAATTTTTCAATACCTCAATTTTTCGGTTCTTCAACTTTTTTGGTTCTTCAATTTTTCGATTGTTCGATTTTTTTTATTCTTCTATTTTTCGATTCTTCCATTTCTCGTTTCTTCAATTTCACGATTCCTCCATTTTTCAATACCTCAATTTTTCGGTTCTTCAAATTTTTTGGTTCTTCAATTTTTGGATTGTTCAATTTTTTTTATTCTTCAATTTCTCGATTCTTCAATTTCGATTCTTCCATTTCTCGATTTCTTTCTCCTCGATTGTTCAATTTTGTTGTTTCTTCTATTTTTCGATTCTTCCATTTCTCAGTTCTTCAATTTTGATTCTTCCATTTCTCGATTCTTCAATTTCTCCTCGCTTCTATAATTTTTCAATTGTTCCATTTTTTCGAGACTTTAATTTTTTGATTCTTCAATTTCTCGATTCTTCGTCGGTTCAATTTTTCGATTCTTCATTCTTTTATTCTTCAATTCTTCTATTTCTCGATTTTTCAATTCTCCAATGCTTCAATTTTTCGATATTAAATTTCTCGATTCTTCAGTATTACGATAATTCAATTTCTCGTTTCTTCAATTTCACGATTATTTAATGTCTCGATTATTTAATGTCTCGATTCTTCAATTTTTCAATACCTCAATTTTTCGGTTCTTCAACTTTTTTGGTTATTCAGTTTTTCGATTCTTCCATTTCTCGATTCTTCAATTTTGATTCTTCCATTTCTCGTTTCTTCAATTTCACGATTCTTCCATTTTTTCAATACCTCAATTTTTCGGTTCTTCAAATTTTTTGGTTCTTCAACTTTTCGATTGTTCAATTTTTTTTATTCTTCAATTTCTCGATTCTTCAATTTCGATTCTTCCATTTCTCGGTTTCTTTCTCCTCGATTGTTCAATTTTTTGTTTCTTCTATTTTTCGATTCTTCCATTTCTCAATTCTTCAATTTTGATTCTTCCATTTGTTGATTCTTCAATTTCTCCTCGATTCTATAATTTTTCAATTGTGCCATTTTTCGAGTCTTCAATTTTTCGATTCTTCAATTTCTCAATTCTTCGTCGGTTCAATTTTTCGATTCTTCATTCTTTTATTCTTCATTTCTTCTATTTCTCGATTCTTCAATTTTCCAATGCTTCAATTTTTCGATATTAAATTTCTCGATTCTTCAGTATTACGATAATTCAATTTCTCGTTTCTTCAATTTCACGATTATTTAATGTCTCGATTATTTAATGTCTCGATTCTTCAATTTTTCAATACCTCAATTTTTCGGTTCTTCAACTTTTTTGGTTATTCAATTTTTCGATTCTTCCATTTCTCGATTCTTCATTTTTGATTCTTCCATTTCTCGTTTCTTCAATTTTACGATTCTTCCATTTTTTCAATACCTCAATTTTTCGGTTCTTCAAATTTTTTGATTCTTCAATTTTTCGATTGTTCAATTTTTTTATTCTTCAATTTCTCGATTCTTCAATTTCGATTCTTCCATTTCTCGATTTCTTTCTCCTCGATTTTTGGTTTGTTAAATATTTCGTAACTTCAATGTTTCAATTCTTCAACTTCTCGATTCTTCCATTTCTCAAATCTTCGATTTTTCGATTCTTCAATCTTTCAATTCTTCAATTTTTCATTTTTTTATTTCTCGATTTTCCGATTTTTCTTCTTTTCCATTTTTCGCCAGTTATTCGATTTACCGATTTCTTAATTTTTCGACTTTTCCATAATTCAGGTTTTCGAATTTAAATTTTTCAGTACCTCAATTTTTCGGTTCTTAAAATTTTTTGGTTCTTCAATTTTTCGATTGTTCAATTTTTTTATTCTTCAATTTCTCGATTCTTCAATTTCGATTCTTCCATTTCTCGATTTCTTTCTCCTCGATTTTTGGTTTGTTAAATATTTCGTATCTTCAGTGTTTCGATTCTTCAACTTCTCGATTCTTCCATTTCTCAAATCTTCAATTTTTCGTTTTTCAATCTTTCAATTCTTCAATTTTTCATTTTTTTATTTTTCGATTTTCCGAATTTTCTTCTTTTCCATTTTCCGTCAGTTATTCGATTTCCCGATTTTTCAATTTTTCGACTTTTCCATAATTCAGGTTTTCGAATTTTATATGTTAGGATTTTTCAATTTTCCGATTTTTTTCTTTTTTCTTATTCAATTTTTCGATTCTTTACTTGTTTGATTCTTCACTTTTTCGAATCTTCAATTTCTCCATTCCTCTATTTTTCAGTTCTTCATTGTCTCCATTTTTGGATTCCTGATTTTTCAAATTTTCGACTTTTTGATTTTTGAATTTCCGGATTTTCCAATTTTTTGATATTTCGTCTTTTCGATTTTTCAGTGTTGCGATTTTTCTATTTCGCCATTTGTCACTTTTTATTTTTAATTTCTTTGACTTTTTAATTTTTCGTTTCTTCAATTTTTCGATTTCTCGTTTTTTTTTTTTGATTTTCCAATTTGTTAGTTTTTCCATATTTTAGTTTTGCGTTTTTTCTTTAACTTTTAAATTTTTCGACTTTTGGATTTTTCAATTTTTCAATTTGTGGAAATTTCAGTTATGCGATTTTTTCAATTTTGTCGATTCTTCAATTTTTATACTTTTCGAAAAACATTCTTATTGATTACGAACGTAAAGTCGTTTTGCTCTTCAAATAATCCGGAAAAATCGAAAAAACCGTTTTCCAAAATAATTTTCGGAATTGTAAAATTTGTGAAAATCGGGTTAAGGAAATTTTTGGACAAACAAATTTCTTATAGAGCGTGAGTTTGAAGTCCTTTTTGATAGAATAATACATAAAACTGGAGAAAACTTTCAAAATTGTTTCTGGAAAGTCAACCGTAGAAGTCAAAAAAAAACTATTCGAACTTCCTGTAGGCCATGAATCTGAAACCATTTTCACTATACAGTAATACAAAAAAATTGAAAAATGGATTTTCAAATTTTTTTTACCATCATCTACACAAAAAATACAAGATTTAAGATTTTTTTTATTTTCCCAAAATATTAAAAATCGACTTTTTTTCTCCCACAGTGGACGACGCCAGCGGCCGCTACTCCACAGGCTGGTTCTGGGGCAACCACTACTGGACCGGCTCCCAATCCCTCTGCGAAAACATAGTACCCAGAACCAAATCCATCATCGTCCACCCAGAGGTAAACCAGCACCACTTAACAAAACACCCATCAACGTTCGTTTCAAACCATTACCCAACTCTCCACATCGCAACACAACCATACCGCTCTTTTTAAAAACCACTAACCGTCAATTTACGAAACCACTGAATACTTTCCGCTAAATTGAACACCGATGTTCACAGATCAAATTCGTGCTTTCGAAATCCGCTTTGCCCAGAATAATAATGGCCACCTTACACACTTTCGATTTTTGCTTTTTTGTGTGTTTAGAACCGGAAGTACTTCCTTCGACACTCCTATTTTAGGTACTTGCGACGAGGACACACACCCATGTTGTTTTAAACGTATCACCATAATACACAATTAACCTTGTCTCGTTAAAAGTTTGTGTGTGTAAGCAGCACTTAGTAATTTGGGTTTGCAGAACCGGACTCGGGCGTCTCGGGAGGCGGAAGTACCGAGGAGAGCATCGAGCCCTAGTCAATCCGTGGGGTACGTCACGGGCCCCATCAAGTACACGTCGCTGCCTCCTTTCACGGTGTCGTTTTTCATGATGAGGCTCGATTTGAATTCAAGTTTCACCACAGAAGTAAGGAAAAATTGAGTTCCGAGATATATACTTATATGTGTATTTTGGTTTGAAGGAAAAAATCCTCCATGTTGGTCTCTGCATGCCCTATGTGTGCACAGACTCCGACATTAAAGCCATAGTTGAAGAAACCTCCAAATCATCCACGAAAATCTCTATCAAAGTAGAAGCTGTGAGGTCGCACCACAACCGATTCAACATCTGGAAGGACCAAACTTTCATCATCCTATGGTAACCACCAAACCCACCAAAACCCAACCTAATTGTTTTTTCCAGTGGTGTCACTTCAGTCGTTGTCGTTTTTCTAATCCTCGGTACTTCCTACGACTTCTACTTAGAACACAACGAAAAACGCAAAAAACTTCTATCTATAACCCCGAATCACCTAAAACTGGATATGAGCATGCCAGACACCAAAACCAAAAATGGCATGTACATAGTCAACAACAACAATCGACCAAATCGCGATGAACCCGAAAGTGGCACCAAACACAACTCCAGACCACGAACCACCAAAGCTATAATCAGTAAGAGCGAAAGTTGCGCGAATTCATCACCTATACTTATCTATTTCCGTAGAACTAATCATCAAAGAAAGCATTCTTGCGTTTTCTTTAAGGGCGAATATTCGGACGATTTGTGACCAGTCTGTCAGTAGCGACACGATCCCGGTGATCCATGGCCTGAAATCCATTAGTATGGCGTGGGTGATTTTGGGGCACACTTGCATCATCGCGTTCAAGTATTCAGGTGCGTGCCGCTTACCTTCACACAAACCATTACTACAAACGTCACCGTGACACTTAAACTGACAGAGCGCCAAATTTAAATTTTTAATTTGTAGACAACATGGAGTACAGGAAAGTCGTACAAAAGGAGTTCTTTTTTCAAACTATCACCAACGGGGCGTTCAGTGTAGACACCTTTTTCTTCACTAGTGGGCTTCTAGTGTCGTTTTTGTACTTCCGGACCAACGCAAAAGGCAAACTTGACCCTCTCAGGATACGTCAGAGCAATTTCATGTCAGGGGTCATGCATTTCTTCGGATTGGTGGCCTACAGGTTTGCCAGATTGACAGCACCGTACTTGTTTACGCTGGGGGTGGTCGAAGTGACTATGAAGTGGTTCAACTACAACTCGGTGTTTGAACCACCGACGATGGACCACGTTAACTGTCCCGACTACTGGTGGAGGAACATTCTTTATATTAACACGTTGTTTCCGGTGGAAGAAATGGTAAGAATTACAACCATTTTGGACGAATTTTAACCCAAACTGTCTATAGTGTATGCTATGGAGCTGGTACTTGTCAGACGACACCCAATTCTACATCGTAGGCGCAGTCATGCTAATTTTAGCAGTAAGCCACTTCAAAAGTGGCGCTTGTCTTCTATTAATCTTCATGATAAGTTCGTGGATCACCACGGGTTATATTGCCTATAGTAATAGCCATATGCCTGGGTCGGACGACCCGCTAGCCCTCTTTGACAAAATCTACGACAAACCTTGGACTCGTTTGGGTCCTTACTTAATCGGAATGTGCGTCGGGTGGTTCCTTTTCAAGAAAAACTGCCAATTAAACATGTCTAAGGTAGGTAAGTCCGCACTGGGTAATATCACCCGTACTAATTTGGTTTTCAGTTGACAGTGATTTCCGGGTGGACGGTTTCCATTGCGTGCTTGTTGGCGCTGGTCTATGGGTTGTATGAAGTCAATTTGTCGCCCATTGCAGGGGCTGCCTACAGTGCTCTTAGTCACTCGGCGTGGGCAATGGGACTTGCATGGGTCGTAGTCGCGTGTTCCACCGGATATGGAGGTAACACTCGACGAACTAGTAGATATTTTATATTGTCAATCTATTTTGACAGGTTTTGCCAACACAATTCTATCGTCGACGATTCTATATCCCTTCAGTCGTATCACCTATTGTGCCTATTTGCTACACCCTGTAGTCATCAGGGTTATGGCGATGAGTATGGACAGTCCGCTACATCTAGGGAGTTTAGTGATGATCATTATTTTCCTGGGACAAGTGGTGGCGTCCTATAGTCTCTCGTTTTTTGTGTCACTGGCGTTCGAAGCCCCCATGGTTTCGATGCTTCGAATAATGACGAAAGTTGTAGGGACTCCGAAGTAGTATAGGTGTACATAACTGACTGTGAATATATTAGTTATAACCTAGCTTTTAAATTATTTTTTAAATGTAAATACTAGTTAAGCATGTGTTCTTAGACAAAATAGTGTAACACTCTTCTGGATTAAGGAAGATATTATTTTTACTGTTTTTGGTTGTTGATTTTGTTCTTGAAGACAATCAAGATAGCGTGCATGTTTTTGCTCAAAATGGAAATTTTGTAAGATGTCTACAATTTTTATAGTAGTTTTGTAAAGATCTTGCCAGATGTAAAGCACGCTGATATTAAAACAATAGAAAAACAACTCAAGCATTTTTATTATCGACGAGGTTCTATGACATCCGCCAACTCAAGCAAAAGTACATGGATGTGAAGCAGAACTAAGGCAATCGCACGACTATTGCGAAAGAAACATGTACGTGTAGGGTAAACGACGAAAAATGTTGCTTCTCCGGTGGGAATCGAACCGCACGTTTACCGCTTGCCGGGGGGGTACGTTTACCACTAGACTACGGAGGAGCTTATTTTTCTTCGCTTACCACTACTAAATATTGTGTCACCACATACGTAGCTATACGTAGCTATATTCACCAGCAGCAACACACAGACTTTTATAAAACTGAAACTGCAAAATATGCGCCACGAAGTACCTAAAAACCATAACTATAGTCAAAAAATTCGGACGTATTGTTTAAAGCAAACCATATGTATTAAGTAAAAAAGAAAGTCAAAAGATAAGCCCCACCCATTTAATTTTTAATTTATGTAAATAGTATATTTTGAACAACACAATGCTAAAAAACATGTCTTACATGGCAATTTCTTGTAGAGAAATGAGGATTTTTCAGTTAAGCTCCGCCCTCTTGGTGCAGGATGAATAAAAAAAATCATCACAACTGAGGTAGGGTGGGTGGGCGGGGCTTATATTTTGCCTGTTTTTTCTTATTGTACGCAGTCTGCTTTTCACAACAAAAATTTAAAATCGATGATTACGTATATTAAGAAAGAAAGGGACAATATAAGCTCCGCCCATCCGCCCCATTTCAATTGTGATGATTTTTTTTACCCGTCGTAAGTCGTGGGGCGGTGTTTAATTGCAAAATCCTTGTTTTCCTACTAGAAATTGCTATGAGAAATACGTTCTTGAGTAATCGTGTCGTTTAAAGCAAACTATATGTATTAAATAAAAATGAAAGTCAAAAGATAGGTAAGCCTCACCCATTAAATTTTTAATATATACAGTATTTTTTGAATAACACGATGCTAAAAAACATGTCAAATGTAGGAATTTTTTGTAGAGAAATAAGGATTTTTCAATTAAACTTCGATCTCTTGGCTCACGTTGAATAAAAAAATCGTCACAATTGAGATAGGGTGGGTGGGCGGGGCTTATATTTTGCCTGTTTTTTCTTAATATACGTAGCCATCTTTTCACAACAGAAGCTTAAAACAGATGAGTGCGTAAATTAAGAAAAAAAGCATAATTTAATATAGTGTTCTTATCTATGTTTATAGAATATCTTCTATATCTTTACATTTTTTTTATCAAAGGGCGTTTCGCAAAAAAAAACGCAATCTCTAGACTATTGGACTGATATCAAGTTTTATATGTATTTTAGGAATGTCGTGTAGATGGTAAAACAATAACCAACATTTGTCTGATTATCCCCACCAACATTTTGATGACGTCACCTAAAAATTTTGCAGCGTAAATGCTATTTAAATTATATAAAATAACAATCCTAAACTACCGTTGAGTAAAATTTGTAGATTCTTTTTTTTATGATTCGTCTCCAAATGAATAAAAGCTTTGAGATAAATTTTAGTAAAAATACCCATTAATTTTCATTCATTTCATTTTCAAGATTGAATAATTTAATTTGCCCATGGCCATACAAGCATAGGACCGAGGGAGCAATAAAAAACACGATCAAAGACAACCATGGATTTTTGAAGATATGTCTTTAATAGAATTTTAGTCTTGTCAGATTACCGTCAAATCGAAAATTTGAGTTGAAAACGCAACGATCAAAGACAAACTTTCAAAAATCCATGGCTGTCTTTGATTCCGTTTTTCATTGCTCTTTCCCCTAATCTGTAGTAAATATTTATAAAAACTATACATAATAAGAAATAAAGTATGAAACATAATTGACATAATTTTGATTTTTTCTAATATTTTTGACAAGGTCGTGATTAAACTAATAGATTTTCCACTGTTCAGGAAAGTGTATAGTTAGCAATAAAAGGACGGCAAAATTTTAGCACTTCTTATCATTTCATGTGGCATTAGAATGAAGATTGAGCCGAACAATTTGCATAAATTTGTCTAAAAATCTCAATACAACTTACGTATACAGGTCAGACTAAGGGCATAATTGTGACTTTTCCGACCACCCCTCGTATACAGCCGTTTCCTTGTACTAAGGCTGCGGTTAAGGAAAGCGACTTGGACACAGAGAGTGGGCTGTTAGACCAGAAATGGATTTGTTCTGGCAGAGACTCGGGAAAGCGTATGATACTCATTATGCCCTTTCAAAAGAAAGACAATTTCTGACTGAAGAAAATGAAATTCTGGTTGAAACGCACAACGACTATTGCGAAAAGATCCTGTATCCTTCACCAGGAGGCTACATCAGCACGGTTGCCACTCCAAAAGTTGACCTGTCGAAAAGAAAGAGGCTCCGATTCCGGCCTTACTTGACCTGGCATTTGAGATAATGTTTTAAGGTTTTTATTGACTTTTGTGACAAATGACAGTGAATAAAGTACAATTTTGTCTAGTATTTGGAATTTTGTTCCTTCAAGTAGGTGTAGAGTGGTCTGAAGTACTCCAAAAGTGGGGTGGCGTCCAATTTCCTTGATCCAGTCATGAGCTCCAGGGCGTCACTACAGTGCTTACTAGCACCCAAAGCCAGACCCTTGCTGCAAAATAATAGTGGAATTAGTAAAGAAAACCACCAGTGACTAAAAGTACCTCAGCAAATACCCAGCAGGCTTCGACTCATAAAAGTCGCACTTATGCAGCGGTACTTCTTTAGAATCTGGGTTATATTCACCAGCAGTAACACACAGACTTTTATAAAACTGAAACTGCAAAATATGCGCCACGAAGTACCTAAACACCATAACTATAGTCAAAAAATTCGGACTCAACCCAAACTTACGCAATATATTGCGAATCCCCGGCCACATGGAACTTCGCCCCTTGGTCAAAATCGTTCTCCGACCTTTCCACCGGCGGCTTCACCTTCTGGTACTTCTTCCGGTACTCCCACCAGTGGGAATTCCACTGTTCTTGGGTAACCCGACCCGAGAAAACGTCCATCTCCACTTGTCAATAAGAAGCCCGAAAGGCAGGAACGCCACCTTCTGCAACGCTGTGTCCATTAAGGCGTTAATCGCAGCTTCGGTACTATCGGTGTAGTTCTTCACTAGATTGATCTTTTGTAGGTGCTTGGGCGTGGACACCGACAGCGCAATCGTGTCACCTATGGCTTCGTGGAACCCTGGGTTGGCTCCATCCCGGAAGGTCACCAACTGCTTGACGTACTGCATGAAGGACTGGATGTGTCCTGTCTCATGGTGGATGAAAATAAAGTCCTCGAAATTGATGTTCGTACACATTTTGATTCTATAATTGTGACCGTCGCAGAAGTCCCAAGCGATAGCGTGACACAGTACTCTCTACCATCGGTGAGTTTCTCAATCATAGCTCCTGCACTAGTATTGTAGCACACACCCATCGGGATTAAACCCATGGACTTGTAGAACTCGTCGTAGATTTTGAACATGTCCAAAACTGAGTACTTTTGTTGTTTGAGGGCGGCATCCACGTCGACTTTACTGGCTTGAGGGAAAGGCCGCACCAGCTCGGCTATGTTGTTCCATTCTTGGGCCCACATGTTCCCGAGGACGTTCGCCGGGATAAGTCCGTCAGAAATTTCAAGCTTACTACCAAAACGCTCTTTGAGTTTGCGACCGACGTACTTGTGGAGTTCTGCATAGAGTGGTTCCACTTGGGTCCACAGATCATCGATGTCCTGGATAAAAGTAGGCGATTCATAGCTGTCCCTCCACAGTTCTCCTTTATCGTTAAACTCTACTCGGGTTAGGTTATGTAAACTGAATCTACCGACTTACTGTTAGCAACGGCGGCTTCATTGGACAGTTCTACGTATGTTTGGTACAGACTTCTTATTTTGGCATCGGAAGCATCTCTCCAGACTCTCCAGGCGTAAACCAACTCGTCGCAGTTGGCCAAAATTTCTTCGATTCCGGGTTCGAGAGATAAACCTTCTTTGGATAGGTCGCACTTTTGGTTACTGAAGGGACAGATTTTAGCAGTACTGTAGATGTTGGTCATGTTGTTGGTAGCTTTGGTTAGCTGAAACGTACTCTTGAAGATCTAGTCGTTCAAAGAAAACACTCACTTTGGTCAGTTTTTCTTCATTTAGTGCAGCGTTTCCCAAAATCCTCAAATTTTTCACTTGCCTTTTGAGCTGTTCGTCTTGGTAGTCTTCAGGGTTGAGGTCTTTGAAATAATCTTGCCAGTACTTTTTGGCCAAAGCGGCGGACTCCAGAGTTACATTGAGCTAAGAAAATATTCATAATTAGGGTCCAACTGTTTCAGAAACTAGTGTTTACCAAAATGTCCTGCTTTTCTTTGTTGTTGATGTCCGTTTCGTAGTTCCACTCTGCTTCGTTTGTCTTCGTGCACATAGCAGACGCCGATTTTTCGTACTCGGTGGCTAAAAAGTTCTTCAGTTTATCTTGGCTAAGAGCAGATGTAAAAGACAAGTAAAATTGGTACTTCTCGTTATGGTACTCTTCGTAGTCTTTTTTTCAAAAACCCGTTTCTCGGAATGAGAAGCAGGAGGTGTTTGCAAAGTGGCTACTTGCTGGATATCACCAACAAGGGCAATTCAGACAGTTGAACCCTTCGGACGTACTACTCTGACCTAGACAAAGTAAGCCACCAAAACGACATAAAGTTTATTGAAAGTTCTTCAGCTTACGTCGGTCAAGACCGAGATAAAGTTTGCCCGTTTGACAAAAAAGACCGCCTTAACAAGAACCTCCTCGACCAAAACTATACCATATGTTTGAAACCGCCAAAGAATTGTACACCCCGGCACATTCGGTACTTCCAGTGTTGTACATTAAACAACACAGTTTCAAATTTTTGGACAAGGAAGTTCAAGTTTGTATAATTTTGCAGACAAATATCTGCTGTTTGTCTAAACAAAGTACGAAAAATCAACAACACCTTATCGTAAGTCAACATGGGTACCCCAAATCCATAAATCAGTCTGATTTGTTATTCATTCAGAGCAACGACTTATAGTGATCGGTGTGAACCATGACCCTCAAAGCTCCCAATTACCTTCAAGGCGTAAGCTTTTTTCACAATAATAACAACAGCAACAATTGTAAATATGTTTTCTAGTACACATGGATCCCGCTAGACGAGTCCCCAAAGATGGACGAAGTCCTCGAACTATTCACCGCAGTCAAGGCCAACAACCTGAAGAAAATCGAAGACGTGATATCCAGAAACAAGGAAATCGTGCGATATAGATATTACGGCTGCGACAATCAGAACATCTTCATGATAGCTTGCAAAGACCAAGACGGAATGAGTGGCGTCAAAAAAGAGACGCTCAGAATTCTTATGGACGCACTAGGCGAAGATTTTAAAAGACCGTCGACGAACGACCACTGGGACCCTCTCCACTACACCGCCCTCAACGCCAACAAAGAGAAAATGGAAGCCATCATCGAGCGTCTAAATTTACAAGAAGTCAACTCGCTCGTCTATTGTTCAAAGGACGTTCTAGAAAAGTATAACGTCTGTTCTGAACAGATTGGAGACACGTATTCGAACAACGCGTTGAACGTGCTCTTGAAGTACGGGAAGCGCGGCGACTGTGACCAATTTAAAGCTTGCTTCGAGCTACTGGTCAAAAACGGGGTTTCAGTGAATCAACAAGACTCGGAACAGAGAAGTCCGATATCCTTCATCAACAAAGACGACGAACTGAAGACAATCTTCAATAAAGTGGGGACGGAAAGCAATAGTGTCACCAATGGTTTCAAGTTTGGTCGAATGAATAGCATCACAGAATTGGTGAGGAGCACACTCGTCCAAACCCAAGACCAAGCCAATGGGTTAGACGGAAGCGACGAAAAATCCTCCAGTTGCACACTTCTTCAGTTGTACTGCGCCAAAGGACTTCTTGATTGCGTGGAATACATTCTAGACAAGGGGGCTTTTCCGGAGCGAGTGATCTCGAAAAACCCAACACCTCCGATAATGATAGCGATCTTGGAAGACCACGAAAGCATCGTCAAGCTGCTTCTCAACAGAAATGTCATTTTACCTGACGAAATATTGCTGACACTTCTCCAACTCTACAGCCAAAGAGACGTCGGCACTATTACTAAGTACGTGAAGATGATATGCAACCACTTGCGACGAAAGGAGAAGGAGCGTCTTCAATTTTACGTCACAACGACAGACGAATTTGATCGAACTCCTCTTCACTATGCGGTGCATTATGGGTGTCCTGATATCTCTCTAACCTTACTTTCTTTGGGTGCCTCCCTTATTGATAAAGACAAGTTCGGGAATGCTCCTCTTCGATTCATCAAAGCAACGGTTTTGGAAAAATTCTTAGACAATAGTATTACAATGGATGATTGTCAAAAAAACGACGAAACCAACTTTTCGCTAAAAATCGACTACAAGTCGTTGGTTACGAATAATGAAGATTCGCCAGAGTGTGAGTTCTTGGCGTACTTGACTCAAGAAACGCGACTAAATCACTTGATCATTCACCCTCTTGTGCTAACTTTTCTAGCACTGAAGTGGCAGAACATAAAGAAGATCGTGTACCTAGATTTGGTTCTTTATCTCATCTCTTGTGTATGTTTAGTGGTGTACGGAGCCTTCTTTGCCAACATGATCAAAACACCAAATCTAATACTACTGATTCCTTTCGGGATCTTGTTGTTTCGTACCACGGTCCAACTGACCATTTTCAAAATCGACTATTTGAAAAGTCTGAACAACATCATCGACTTGTTTCTCATTGGAGGAATTATGTATATTATAGCAGCCGGATGGTTCCCCTATCTTGACAATCGCAACGTCTTGGTCGCCTACTCCGTAATCTTACTCACTTCCATCCTAGGTATATTCCAACACATGCGCCACTTCTCCTTCTTCACCATCAAAGTCATCATGTTCGAAGAAATCACGATCAGCTTCTTCCACTACATCGCCTTCTACATGTTTCCAATTCTAGCCTTCGCCTTCTGCTTCTACATGTTGTCCGAAAACAAAAAGTGCATGTTTTTTGAAACCATTTACTCCACCATGGTCATGTTTGCCGGAGATACCGAAAAGAGTTTCCCCTCGGACAGATTCATAACCAATCCCATCTTCGGTCACTTCATCTACGTCGTCTTCGTAGTCTTAATCGTCATTATTCTGCACAACATTCTGATCGGTTTAGCCGTGAGTGATCTCCAACAAGTCCAAAAGCAGGCGGAGTTTATTGACAAGAAGGAGAGGTCGAAGTTTGTCACGAAGATCGAACGCGTGTGCTACATGAAGTCGAAACGTTCTGAGTTTAGAAAATTGAAGAAGATGGCTCGTGTTTTCAAGGAGAGTCGTGTTTTGGGGGTTCAGAGTGACAAAGGAAGGTACGTTCACGTGGACGAAATTGAAGAAGGTGAGAAGAAATGTCGTGGTGGAAGGGGCCATCGGGTTCTTCGTGACGGACAAGTGTTAAATACGTTGCAGGAGGTTTCAAGGAACATGTACATGAGGGACAGGGAGGTCGAAAATCCTTACACTATTAGAAGTCTGCATGAAAGAATCGCGAGGATGGAAGCTTTGGTTTTGAAGGGGATGAAAATTTCGAAGAAGAAGGTGTTTGAAAGTAGAACGACACTTAAGTAGTTGTAAAGTTTGAGAATAAATAAGCAAATTTCCAGTGACTGTTGGTTATTATTTGTTTGACTTGTCCGGGTTTTACCAATTGCGATAACTTATTCCTTATCAAAGTCGATCCTAATCTGTCTATAAATAAACATGTATCTTCTTTGAGTGTAATTACTTTATCTATATCTTGTCTGATAAACCAGTACACACCTTATTGATTGTTTCTAGTTCGGTGTCTGCGTGTGAAAAATGAAATCTGAATCATCCGAAGACCCTGAACGTTTACTCAAGGTCCCACAATGTTCGTTTCTAGAAGCAGAAAGGCTTCTTTTTGCCGTGCAAACAAACGACCACCAGCGCATTCACGACCTGGTTGTAAAAAACCCAGATGTTCTAACCCATCAGTATGCCCCATACGACTACCAAACCATCCTCCACATCGCTTGCAACGACCAACACTCAATGGGACAAGTCACGAGAAACACCATCGACACTTTGATTAAATTTGGAGCTAGATGTGACCAACCCAACAAGAACGACCACTGGGAACCCATCCACTACACCGCCATTAACGCCAACAAGGAAAAAATGGAAGCCATCTTGTCACACTTATCTAAAGACCAAATTAACTCGCTAGTAACTTGCACTAAACACACTTTCCAGAAGTACACCTTCTGTTCGAAGAAAATCGAGAAGACGTACTCCAACAATGCACTGACTATTCTTCTCAAGTATGGTAACCGAGAGAAGGACTTTCATGCTTGCTGCCAGCTCCTGATTGACAAAGGGATTAATGTCCAACAGGCCGACTCCAAAGGTGTTACTCCGTCTGATCTCATCTGGAAACTCCACGACGACAAACTAAATCGCCTCCTGAAAGTGAGAAGTGCGTTCCAAGACAATTTCAAAGACAGTTTTGGGTTGTTGCGTTTGAACAGCATCAACAGATTCATTTCCATGGACTTGAGTCCAGACGAAGCCAACTCTTTGGACGGGAAAGACGAAAACGTGTCCAGTTGTACCTTGTTGCAGATGTGTTGTGCCAAAGGTATGACAGCTTGCGTCAAACATCTTCTAGAAAAAGGAGCTTCTCCTAACAAAGTTACCAAAAAGAATCCGGAGCACCCGATCGTGATTGCCATCAATGGGGATCACGAGGAGATGGTTAAGGTGTTCTTGAGCAGACACGACGTCGTTCTACCCGACGATATCCTCCTCCAACTCCAGATGTTGTACAACAACAAGAAGAAAGTTTCGACGGCTGATAAGTACATGAAGATGATTCTTAAGAATTTGCGTCGCTATGATAAAGAAACTCTTCAGAAGTATCTTCGTGCTAGGGACGATTTAGAGCGGACTGCTCTTCACTACGCTGTTCACTATAAGTGTACGGATACTACGTTGACTTTGTTATCTATGGGGGCGTCTCTTATTAGTGAAGACATCTTCGGGTACACCCCTCTCAGTTCCATCGATGCGCACGTGTTGGAGAAATGTTTCACCAATTGTATCAGCGCCGTCCAAGAAGACGAAACCCCGACAGGATTTTTCCAGAAGAAAGCCCAATATTCGGTCAAAATCGACTACGGGAATTTGATTTCCAAAGAGAAGGACGTGCAAGAGTCCCACTTTTTGTACCAGATGATCGGCGTGCCGGATTTGAACCATCTGATGAACCATCCGGTGGTGGCAAGTTACCTGGTTTTAAAATGGGAGAAGTTCAAGTGGTGGGTTTACCTAAACCTGAGTCTGTATTTCGTCGCGTATGTGTCTCTTCTCTTCGACGGGTTGTTCAAAACGTCGCACTTCCTACAAACCTCGAACGTACTGCTTTGGATAGCTTATGCTGTTCTACTATGTCGCGACTTATCTCAACTCTTGATTTTTAGACTAAGCTACTTGAAGAAAGCTGAGAGCATTATCGATCTTTCTCTAATCGGAGCTGTAACTTACATTGTCATCGACAGTTGGATTTCGACTACTACAGACAACAAGAACCTCTTAGTAGCTCGCTCCGTGGTATTTTTAACATCCACAATAGGAATTTTCAACCAACTGGGCAACGTTTCGTATTTCACCATCAAAGTGGCGATGTTGCGCCAAATCTCAGCCAATTTCGCCAAAGCTATGGCCTTCTACATCTTCCCAGTTGTGGCTTTCTTCTTCTGTTTCCACGTGCTGAGTGAAAAAGAGCACGCTTTCTTCGATTTGCTCTACGACACTGTGACGATGTTTGCGGGTGATGCAGACGGCGAGTTTCCTGAACAACAGTTTGAACACAACCCGATTTTTGGGAAGACGATCTACATAATCTTCGTTGTTTCCATGGGGATTATTTTGCACAACCTCTTGATTGGTCTGGCGGTCAGCGACTTGCAAGAAATACGAAAACAAGCGGAGTTTCTTTGCAAGAAGGAACACGCAAAGTACGTGGTCAAAGTCGAAAAAATCATTTTTAACCAGTTTAAGAACTCCAAACTCTTGAAACCCTTATTCCAGAACATACTTGCTTATCTATACGTGTTTAAAAAACGTCGTGCCTTGGTCATCCACTTCGACGATTCGAAGAGCATGCACGTCAAGGAAGATTCACGTGCCAAAAAAAAGAAGATACATTGTCGAGAAACCGTTAAATATTTACAAGATATCTTCAAACAACTGACTTTGAACGACAAAAGAACCGAAGACGCGTATTCAATCAAGAGTTTACACGAAAAGTTCGAAAAACTAGAAGCTTTAGTGCTAGAAAGTTTGGAAAAGTCGAAAAAATTATAACCAAAAATACAAATATAACAAGAAACTGAATATTTAAATAGGTCACTGTTATTATTATTAATCTTATCTCAGATTGAAATTCCCAAACCCCACCCTTCCATTGGTGGCAATGACTCAACCAATAACAAGCCATTACTCACCTAGTAAATTTCCACTTACAATTGGCACCACAACGTGTGGTACCCCTTCCCTCCACTCATTCAAAAAATGGCGTCAGAATGGTGCGAAGAAAAACTTTCCGAGCTTTCCAACGAAGATACCCGCATTCCAGTCCTAAAAGAAATGAAGGATTTTCTCACCACCATCCCCCGTGAAGAAATGACCCGAACGGCCAATTCGCTCCAGCTCCCGGTGGTTTTCGACTGCTTAAACGACTCAAACAGGTACCTAACCTCAAAAATGCAAGTCAACATTATAACAATTTTGCGATTTTTTAGTGAGCAGGTGGACTTGGCGTGCGAGGTCCTCACACTGTGTATGACGAACCTAAATCTGGGCGAAAGTACGAATAAATATGGAGTGTTTTTAGAAAGGGCTCTGAATCACCCCTTTCCTGGGGTGAAATTAATGGCTTTGAACGAGATTAAACGCAATATAGAGAACGAGGATATCCTTGTGGATTTGTGTAAAAGGGAGTCGTTGTTGATTAACGTGATTAGGTGTGTGGGGGATGGGGATTTGGGAGTGGCGAAAATGGCGGCTGAGGTGGTGCAAGAGGTGGGGCTGTCGGCGGCGGGGATTAAGCAGTTGACGAACGTGGAAGTCTTAAAGGCGCTGCACGGCGTCATGGGAATTAACGAAATCGTCAGGTTTAGAGTGTACGAAGTACGTAGTCCAATTGTCAAAATTGTATAAAAATAATTTTCCAATTTCAGTTCTTGATACACATCAGCGTGCAATCCGAAGTCAATTTCGACTTGCTCAAGTCCACTGGATTGTTCCCCCAGATTTTAAGCGAACTCGACAATAATGATATTTTATTGAGGCTGAACGTAGTGGAGCTTTTGTCGCAGCTAGGGTTGACCAAACACGGCTACGGATATTTAGAATTAAATGACACTTTGAAAAAATTGGCTCTTATGTTGGACGGTGACGACTTAATCACCGTTCAGTTGTGTGAACCGGGAATTTTAAAATTTTTCGGTAACATGGCACACTGGAAACCCATGGAGCTCCTTTCAAAGTACCCGAATCTCTACCAAAGAATGTTCACTAACTTAGATAGTACCGACTTTACGATTGTCGGCGTTTCGGTGGAAACTCTAGGTCACATAGGGTTGTCAAACGACGGTAAAGTCGCTTTGGACTCAACCGGGGCTTCCATGGACAATGCGATCAGAAGCATTTCAAAGTCGCTTCCGTCGATGCCCAGCGAAGTTAAAGTTCGTGGTTTACAATGTTTGGAAAATCTCCTGCAACTACTGGAACCCAATAACCAAATTATGAGTATCACCCATAAATGGTACAGTCTTCTGGATAATACTCCCATGGACTTTATTTGGAATTATGCTAAAAACCCGTTCTCTGAGTTGAGGTTGGGGGGGTTTGGGGTGTTGAGAGGTATAGCGGGGCAGCCGTGGGGGCAAGAAGCTATTAAAAATTACCCCGGTAATTTAATATTTTTCAAAATTGTATATACGCGATTTTTAATATTTTTTTTTTTTTGTAGGTTTGGTTGAATTTTTGCTTGACCGAAGCGTGGAAACGATAAAAGAGTGCAAAGAAGCGAAGTACGCGATTGTGGAATTGTTGGCCAGGAGCGACGTTTTCGACCCAGGAACCCTGAAGAAGTTGCACGCTTTTGTCAAAGAGGGGCCTTTTTATGTGCGCGCTGTTACAGAAGTTGCCATTGAGGGAAATGATTAATTTATTTTTTTAAAATATATAAGTTTGTAATAGACTATTTTCTACTAATAAACTAAATGAATGTGTTGTTCGTGTTTATTTTTACCTAACAAAAATTTGTCTAATCATTCCCACCAATAATGTGATGACGTCACTTCAAAATTATACAAAGTTATGATAAGCATGACAAATTTTTAAAGTATATTGCCTATCCCTTCCACAAAATTGATGACGTCAGCTCAAAATTTTGTCGAATAAAAAAATGTGATGAGTCTGTACTCGTGATTTATCATTCCATCCACATTTTTTTGGCTTGCTTGTACAGGAAAAAAATTAATGAATGCGTAAATTTATTTTATTGATTTAATCAGGCACTAGTTAACGATTAAAATCCTAACAGAAACTGTGAATTTACAAACAATAAAAAAATTTACACGTGTTAGCGTCGCGTCGGTCGAAAATTTACTTATTTCCGCTCGGAAAAAACCCCAAGAATTAGTTCCGCGCGTTGGGGAAACTTGGCGATTACGATTCATTTTCGTTAAACAAAGGTTTTCTCCATTTTAACTACCAAACCAACTAGTTTAACCTAGTTAACTTACCACGTGGTTTTCAGTCACACCCAAAGACTTCACATATATAGATGATATATATGAGGGGTGTGGTGTGAGCAAAGACTTGAAATATATCATCTATATATTTGAAGTCTTTGCTCTCTATAAAGCAAGCCGCCATCTTTTTTCAATACCAACCCTCCAACTAAAATTTCAAGCAGAACTACACACTACCCAAAAAGCGCTAACGTGCACATGGTTGCCAATGTTCAAAGATTTTTTTTATCGAATTTTTTTTCGGCGCGAAATTTTAATGTAAAACCTTCTCGGGGGCCCCAAATGTATATTTTTAAGAATATAAAACCTTTTCGGGGTCCCAATTGTTTTTTTTTAATGTAAAACCTTCTCGGTGGCCCCAAATGTATTTTTTTAGGAATATGAAACCTTCTCGGGGTCCTAACTTTTTTTAATGTAAAATCTTCTCGGGGGCCCCAAATGTATTTTTTTTAATGTGGAACCTTCTCGGGGGTCCCAACTGTGTTTTTTAAAAATGTAAAACCTTCTCGGGGGCCCCAAATATCTTTTTTTTTTAATATGAAACCTTCTCAGGGTCGCCAAATGTCTTTTTTAAGAACGCGAAACCTTCTCGGGGGTCCTAACTGTATTTATTTAAGAATGTAAAATCTTCTCGGGAGTCCCAAATATCTTTTTTAAAAATGTGAAAACTTCCTGGGAGTCTCAACTGTCCTTTTAAAAATGTAAAACCTTCTCGGGGGTCTCAACTGTCTTTTTTGAAAATGTAAAACCTTCTCGGGGGTTCCTACTGTATTTTTTTTTTAAGAATGTGAAACCTTCTCGGGGTTCCAACTGTATGTTTTAAAAATGTAAAACCTTTTCGGGAGGCCCAAATGTATTTTTTTAGGAGTATCAAACCTTCTCGGGGTCCCAACTGTTTTTGTTTTTTAATGTAAAATCTCGGAGGCCCCAAATGTATTTCTTTAGGAATATGAAACCTTCTCGGGGTCCCAACTTTTTTTTTAATGTAAAATCTTCTCGGGGGCCCCAAACGTATTTTTTTTAATATAAACGCTTCTGGGGGTCCCAACTGTGTTTTTTAAAAATGTAAAGCCTTCTCAGGATCGCCAAATGTTTTTTTTAAGAACGCGAAACCTTCTCGAAGGTCCTAACTGTATTTATTTAAGAATGTACAATCTTCTCGGGAGTCCTAAATATCTTCTTTTAAGAATGTAAAACCTTCTCGGGAGTCCCAACTGTCTTTTTTAAAAATGTAAAACCTTCTCGGGGGTCCCAACTGTCTTTTTTAAAAATGTAAAACCTTCTCGGGGGCCCCAAATATCTTTTTTTTTAATATGAAACCTTCTCAGGGTCGCCAAATGTCTCTTTTAACCTTCTCGGGGGTCCCAACTGTAATTTTTTTAAGAATGTGAAATCTTCTCGGGGGTTCCAACTATATTTTTTTTAAGAATATGAAACCTTCTCGGGGTTCCAATTATCTTTTTTAAAAATGTGAAACCTTTTCGGGAGGCCCAAATGTATTTTTTTAGGAGTATCAAACCTTCTCGGGGTCCCAACTGTTTTTGTTTTTTAATGTAAAATCTCGGAGGCCCCAGATGTATTTCTTTAGGAATATGAAACCTTCTCGGGGTCCCAACTTTTTTTTTAGTGTAAAATCTTCTCGGGGGCCCCAAATATCTTTTTTTTTAATATGAAACCTTCTCAGGGTCGCCAAATGTCTTTTTTAACCTTCTCGGGGGTCCCAACTGTAATTTTTTTAAGAATGTGAAATCTTCTCGGGGGTTCCAACTGTATTTTTTTTTAAGAATATGAAACCTTCTCGGGGTTCCAACTGTCTTTTTTAAAAATGTAAAACCTTCTCGGGAGGCCCAAATGTATTTTTTTAGGAGTATGAAACCTCGGGGTCCCAACTGTTTTCTTTTAATGTAAAATCTCGGAGGCCCCAAATGTATTTCTTTAGGAATATGAAACCTTCTCGGGGTCCCAACTTTTTTTTTTAGTGTAAAATCTTCTCGGGGGCCCCAAATGTATTTTTTTTTAATATAAACCCTTCTCGGGGGTCTCAATTGTGTTTTTTTTTTATAAACCCTTCTCGGGGGTCTCAATTGTGTTTTTTAAAAATGTAAAACCTTCTCGGGGGCACCAAATATCTTTTTTTTTAATATGAAACCTTCTCAGGGTCGCCATATGTCTTTTTTAACCTTCTCGGGGGTCCCAACTGTATTTTTTTTAAGAATGTGAAATCTTCTCGGGGGTTCCAACTGTATTTTTTTTTTTAAGAATATAAAACCTTCTCGGGGTTCCAACTGTGTTTGTTTTTTAATGAAAAATCTCGGAGGCCCCAAATGTATTTCTTTAGGAATATGAAACCTTCTCGGGGTCCCAACTTTTTTTTTAATGTAAAATCTTCTCGGGAGTCCCAACTGTCTTTTTTAAAAATGTAAAACCTTCTCGGGGATCCCAACTGTATTTTTTTTTAAGAATATAAAACCTTCTCGGGGGTCTCAACTGTCTTTTTTAAAAATGTAAAACCTTCTCAGGATCGCCAAATGTTTTTTTTTAAGAACGCGTAACCTTCTCGAGGGTCCTAACTGTATTTATTTAAGAATGTACAATCTTCTCTGGAGTCCCAAATATCTTTTTTTTTAATATGAAACCTTCTCAGGGTCGCCGAATGTCTCTTTTAACCTTCTCGGGGGTCCCAACTGTAATTTTTTTAAGAATGTGAAATCTTCTCGGGGGTCTCAATTGTGTTTTTTAAAAATGTAAAACCTTCTCGGGGGCCCCAAATATCTTTTTTTTTAATATGAAACCTTCTCAGGGTCGCCAAATGTCTTTTTTAACCTTCTCGGGGGTCCCAACTGTATTTTTTTTTAAGAATGTGAAATCTTCTCGGGGGTTCCAACTGTATTTTTTTTTTTAAGAATGTGAAACCTTCTCGGGGTTCCAACTGTCTTTTTTAAAAATGTGAAACCTTCTCGGGAGGCCCAAATGTATTTTTTTAGGAGTTTCAAACCTTCTCGGGGTCCCAACTGTTTTTGTTTTTTAATGTAAAATCTCGGAGGCCCCAAATGTATTTCTTTAGGAATATGAAAACTTCTCGGGTTCCCAACTTTTTTTCTAATGTAAAATCTTCTCGGGGGCCCCAAATGTATTTTTTTTAATATAAACCCTTCTCGGGGGTCCCAACTGTGTTTTTTAAAAATGTAAAACCTTCTCAGGATCACCAAATGTTTTTTTTTTAAGAACGCGTAACCTTCTCGAGAGTCCTAACTGTATTTATTTAAGAATGTACAATCTTCTCTGGAGTCCCAAATATCTTTTTTTTTTAATATGAAACCTTCTCAGGGTCGCCAAATGTCTCTTTTAACCTTCTCGGGGGTCCCAACTGTAATTTTTTTAAGAATGTGAAATCTTCTTGGGGGTTCCAACTGTATTTTTTTTTTTAAGAATATGAAACCTTCTCGGGGTTCCAACTGTCTTTTTTAAAAATGTGAAACCTTTTCGGGAGGCCCAAATGTATTTTTTTAGGAGTATCAAACCTTCTCGGGGTCCCAACTCTTTTTGTTTTTTAATGTAAAATCTCGGAGGCCCCAAATGTATTTCTTTAGGAATATGAAACCTTCTCGGGTCCCAACTTTTTTTTTAATGTAAAATCTTCTCGGGGGCCCAAATGTATTTTTTTTAATATAAACCCTTTTCGGGGGTCCCAACTGTGTTTTTTAAAAATGTAAAACCTTCTCGGGGGGGCCCAAATATCTTTTTTTTTTAATATGAAACCGTCTCAGGGTCGCCAAATGTCTTTTTTAACCTTCTCGGGGGTCCCAACTGTATTTTTTTTAAGAATGTGAAATCTTCTCGGGGGTTCCAACTGTATTTTTTTTTAAGAATATGAAACCTTCTCGGGGTTCCAACTGTCTTTTTTAAAAATGTGAAACCTTTTCGGGAGGCCCAAATGTATTTTTTTAGGAGTATCAAACCTTCTCGGGGTCCCAACTGTTTTTGTTTTTTAATGAAAAATCTCGGAGGCCTCAAATGTATTTCTTTAGGAATATGAAACCTTCTCGGGGTCCCAACTTTTTTTTTAATGTAAAATCTTCTCGGGAGTCCCAAATATCTTTTTTTAAGAATGTAAAACCTTCTCGGGAGTCCCAACTGTCTTTTTTAAAAATGTAAAACCTTCTCGGGGGTCCCAACTGTATTTTTTTTTAAGAATGTGAAATCTTCTCGGGGGTCCCAACTGTTTTTTTAACAATGTAAAACCTTCTCGGGGGCTCCAAATGTATTGTTTTAGGAATATGAAACCTTCTCGGGGGTCTCAACTGTCTTTTTTAAAAATGCAGAACCTTATCGGGGGTCCCAACTGTATTTTTTTTTTAAGAATGTGAAATCTTCTCGGGGGTTCCAACTGTATTTTTTTTTAAGAATGTGAAACCTTCTCGGGGTCCCAACTGTCTTTTTTAAAAATGTAAAACTTTCTCGGGGTGGCCAAATGTATTTTTTTAGGAGTATGAAACCTTCTCGAGGTCCCAACTGTTTTCTTTTAATGTAAAATCTCGGAGGCCCCAATTGTGTTTTTTAAAAATGTAAAACCTTCTCAGGGGTTCCAACTGTATTTTTTTTTATTGTGAAACCTTCTCGGGGTCCCAACTGTCTTTTTTAAAAATGTAAAACCTTCTCGGGGGACCCAAATATCTTTTTTTTTTAATATGAACCCTTCTCAGGGGTCCCAACTGTGTTTCTTAAAAATGTAAAACCTTCTCAGGATCGCCAAATGTTTTTTTTTAAGAACGCGAAACCTTCTCGGGGGTCCCAACTGTATTTATTTAAGAATGTATAAATATCTTTTTTTAAGAATGTGAAATCTTCCTGGGGGTCTCAATTGTCGTTTTAAAAATGTAAAACCTTCTCGGGGGTCACAACTGTCTTTTTTAAAAATGTTAAACCTTCTCGGGGGTCCCAACTGTATCTTTTTTAAGAATGTGAAACCTTCTCGGGGGTCTCAACTGTCTTTTTTAACAATGTAAAACCTTCTCGGGGGCTCCAAATGTATTGTTTTAGGAATATGAAACCTTCTCGGGGGTCTCAACTGTCTTTTTTAAAAATGTAAAACCTTCTAGGGGTTCCAACTGTATTTTTTTTTTAATGTGAAACCTTCTCGGGGGGCCCAAATATCTTTTTTTCAAAATGAAACCTTCTTGGAGGTCCCAACTGTCTTTAAAAATGTAAAACCTTCTCGGGGGCCCCAAATATCTTTTTTTTTGACAATGTGAAATCTTCCCCGGGCTCCCAAACATGTTTTTTTGTTAATGTGAAACTTCGGCAGTCCCAACTGTCCTGGCTGGTGTGGTTTGAGTACTAGTTGTGTTTAGGTACTTCGTCGCTGATCTACTTAGCTTACACCTTCATAGAAATCTGTGTATTTTTGCTGATGAGTATGATCCGAAGAAGGGAAGTACGACGTTGCATTTTTGCGATTTTGGGGGATCTGAAACAGCAGGGATTCATTTGAGGTAGGTGTGGTGGCTGGGGGTAGGTTGTGATTGGGTCTCAGGAAGGGGTTGGCTCTTGGTGCCAGTAAACACTGGACGGAGGTTCTGAGAGAGATAACTGTAGACGAAAAACTAGATGCCCGTGGACTTTTAGAGTATTTTGAACCCGTGCACAAATTTCTTATACTGGAAACTAATAGATGTTAAAAATGTAAAATAAATGATGAATTGTCACTAGTGTTCTATTATTCAAATCATTTCTGGCACCTATAAAATTTCACCAAGTCGTTCCCACTCGCACCGCAAGTGTTGATAAATTTCACAGTTAATTTGGCACGCGATCAATCTATTGTTTATTTAATTATCTCCTGACGTTAACAAGTGACAGAATATAAATCGTGAACCGCTAAAACTATCAATGACTTCGAGGTAGTCGCATGATAACTACCTATTGAGTATTCACCTGAGGTTCTTATAAAAGCACCTGACTACCGAGTCACAATCCATTCGATCGCAGCTCCAATGAAAAGAAGGTTTGTCTAGTGAGAAAGTAAATCGTGTGATGTCTTAACTCATACAACACCAAAATGAAGCAAATTTCTGTGAGTACCCACTTTTTCTAGTTGATATTACGGTACTTCATGTAAATTTCTTGCCAATGCAAACGCACTTTCTCTTTTGATCGTTTTTGTTTGATATCAGTCTTCTGAGTGAAGAGTTCAATACACTGATTTGAATCTTGGATGTTGCTAGCCCTGGACGAGGAACTAGTTTGTTTAAAAAAAAGTTGTTATACACGTTTAGTGCGAGACGATTTTTATCAAAACACTGATTTGTTTTTACAAAAGCAATGGCAGTCATTTCGTTTCGTGTTTCAGATTAGGTTTTTTTAATCCAGTTTTATTACCTTGACTGGCGGTAATGAACATTGCACAACGAGATTTTTTATTTGTGGTCGGTTAATAAATTCAGTGTTTTGTTTATTTCGTATATTCTGAAATCGATTGGTGTTTTTCAAATAAAACACAAAAAAGCGTGACTAATGTTTTTAGCAAGGCATTTTGTACATAGTTATTTCGTTCGTATCATTTATCGCAAATATTCGCATTCTATGGTGGATTCTTTGACAATATCGTTTCTGGCTTTTAAAGGACGAATAACCCGCATTGTTGAAGTTTTATTGTCATTTTTACGTAATTAATTACCACGCAAATTGCTGTAATTGTGTGAATCATCGAAGGACAATAGAAATATCTACCATTAAACGAAATGAAATTGCTATGAAACAATTAATCTTCAATTTTTTTTTTGCCTTTTCGGCTCTTTTATCGTTCAAAGTTAGTTGTAGTTTTTCGTCAGTTATTTGAAGATGTCTTGTAAATGTTTAACGGTTTCTCGATCATGTATCTTCTTTTTTTTGGCACGTGAGCCTTCCTTGACAGGCACGAATTTTTTTAAACACGTATAGATAAGCAAGTATGTTCTGGAATAAAGGTTTCAAGAGTTTGGAGTTCTTAAACTGGCTAAAAATAATTTGTTCGACTTTGACCACATACTTTGCGTGTTCCTTCTTGCAAAGAAACTCCGCTTGTTTTCGTATTTCTTGCAAGTCGCTGACCGCCAGACCAATCAAGAGGTTGTGCAAAATAATCCCCATGGAAACAACGAAGATTATGTAGATCGTCTTCCCAAAAATCGGGTTGTGTTCAAACTGTTGTTCAGGAAACTCACCGTCTGCATCTCCCGCAAACATCGTCACAGTGTGGTAGAGCAAATCGAAGAAAGCGTGCTCTTTTTCACTCAGCACGTGGAAGCAAAAGAAGAAAGCTACAACTGGGAAGATGTAGAAGGCCATAGCTTTGGCGAAATTGGCTGAGATTTGGCGCAACATCGCCACTTTGATGGTGAAATACGAAACGTTGCCCAGTTGGTTGAAAATTCCTATTGTAGATGTTAAAAATACCACGGAGTGAGCTACTAAGAGGTTCTTGTTGTCTGTAGTAGTCGAAATCCAACTGTCGATGACAATGTAAGTTACAGCTCCGATTAGAGAAAGATCGATGATGCTCTCAGCTTTCTTCAAGTAGCTTAGTCTAAAAATCAAGAGTTGAGATAAGTCGCGACACAGTAGAACAGCATAAGCTATCCAAAGCAGTACGTTCGAGGTTTGTAGGAAGTGCGACGTTTTGAACAACCCGTCGAAGAGAAGAGACACATACGCGACGAAATACAGACTCAGGTTTAGGTAAACCCACCACTTGAACTTCTCCCATTTTAAAATCAGGTAACTTGCCACAACCGGATGGTTCATCAGATGGTTCAAACCCGGCACGCCGATCATCTGGTACAAAAACTGGGACTCTTGCACGTCCTTCTCTTTGGAAATCAAATTCCCGTAGTCGATTTTGACCGAATATTGGGCTTTCTTCTGGAAAAATCCTGTCGGGGTTTCGTCTTCTTGGACGGCACTGATACAACTGGTGAAACATTTCTCCAACACGTGCGCATCGATGGAACTGAGAGGGGTGTACCCGAAGATGTCTTCACTAATAAGAGACGCCCCCATAGATAACAGACTCAACGTAGTAACCGTACACTTATAGTGAACAGCGTAGTGAAGAGCAGTCCGCTCTAAATCGTCCCTAGCACGAAGATACTTCTGAAGAGTTTCTTTATCATAGCGACGCAAATTCTTAAGAATCATCTTCATGTACTTATCAGCCGTCGAAACTTTCTTCTTGTTGTTGTACAACATCTGGAGTTGGAGGAGGATATCGTCGGGTAGAACGACGTCGTGTCTGCTCAAGAACACCTTAACCATCTCCTCGTGATCCCCATTGATGGCTATCACGATCGGGTGCTCCGGATTCTTTTTGGTAACTTTGCTAGGAGAAGCCCCTTTTTCTAGAAGATGTTTGACGCAAGCTGTCATACCTTTGGCACAACACACCTGCAACAAGGTACAACTGGACACGTTTTCGTCTTTCCCGTCCAAAGAGTTGGCTTCGCCTGGACTCAAGTCCATGGAAATGAATCTGTTGATGCTGTTCAAACGCAACAACCCAAAACTGTCTTTGAAATTGTCTTGGAACGCACTTCTCACTTTCAGGAGGCGATTTAGTTTGTCGTCGTGGAGTTTCCAGATGAGATCAGACGGAGTAACACCTTTGGAGTCGGCCTGTTGGACATTAATCCCTTTGTCAATCAGGAGCTGGTAGCAAGCATGAAAGTCCTTCTCTCGGTTACCATACTTGAGAAGAATAGTCAGTGCGTTGTTGGAGTACGTCTTCTCGATTTTCTTCGAACAGAAGGTGTACTTCTGGAAAATGTGTTTAGTGCAAGTTACTAGTGAGTTAATTTGGTCTTTAGATAAGTGTGACAAGATGGCTTACATTTTTTCCTTGTTGGCGTTAATGGCGGTGTAGTGAATGGGTTCCCAGTGGTCGTTCTTGTTGGGATGGTCACATCTAGCTCCAAATTTAATCAAAGTGTCGATGGTGTTTCTCGTGACTTCCCCCATTGAGTGTTGGTCGTTGCAAGCGATGTGGAGGATTGTTTGGTAGTCGTATGGGGCGTACTAATGGGTTAGAACATCTGGGTTTTTACAACCAGGTGGTCGTTTGTTTGGACGGCACAAACAAAGCTTTCTGCTTCTAGAAAGGGACATTGTGGGACCTTGAGTAAACGTTCAGAGTCCTCGGGTGATTTGGATTTTATTTTTCACACACAGCTACCGAACTGGAAACAATCAATAAGGTGTGTTCTGGTTTATCAGACAAGGTATAGATAAAATAATACTCAAAGAAGATTTATGTTTGTTTAGACAGATTAGAATCGACTTTGATAACCAAGTTTTTTTACGTTATCTCAACGGGAAAACTCGACAACTAAAACAAACAATAAGAAATACTCCGTGAGAAAATTTGTTCATTTATTCTTAAAAACCACAACTACAGAATCGTAGCTCTATTATCAGATTCCTTCCTCTTCGAAATCTTCATCCCCTGCAACATCAAAGCTTCCATTCTCCCAAACTTTTCATGCAAACTTTTAATAGTGTAAGGATTTTCGACCTCCCTGTCCCTCATATACATGTTCTTTGAAACCTCTTGCAACGTCTTCAACACTTGTCTGTCATGAAGAACCCGATAGCCCCTCCCATCACGATCCTTTTTCTCATCCTCTTCAGTTTCAATTTCTTCCACCTTAACGTACCTTCCGTTTTCACTCTGAACCCCCAAAACACGACTCTCCCTAAAAACACGAGCCATCTTTTTCAATTTTCTAAACTCAGAATGTTTCGACTTCGTGTAACACACGTGTTCGATCTTCGTGACAAACTTCGACCTCTCCTTCTTGTCAATAAACTCCGCCTGCTTTTGGACTTGTTGGAGATCACTCACGGCTAAACCGATCAGAATGTTGTGCAGAATAATGACGATTAAGACTACGAAGACGACGTAGATGAAGTGACCGAAGATGGGATTGGTTATGAATCTGTCCGAGGGGAAACTCTTTTCGATATCTCCGGCAAACATGACCATGGTGGAGTAAATGGTTTCGAAAAACATGCACTTTTTGTTTTCGGACAACATGAAGAAGCAGAAGGCGAAGGCTAGGATTGGAAACATGTAGAAGGCGATGTAGTGGAAGAAGTTGATCGTGATTTCTTCGAACATGATGACTTTGATGGTGAAGAAGGAGAAGTGGCGCATGTGTTGGAAGATACCTAGGGTGGAAGTGAGTAAGATTACGGAGTAGGCGACCAAGAGGTTACGATTGTGAAGAAAGGGGAACCAACCGGCTGCTATAATATATATAATTCCACCAATGAGGAACAAGTCGATGATGTTGTTCAGACTTTTCAAATAGTCGATTTTGAAAATGGTCAGTTGGACCGTGGTACGAAACAACAAGATTCCAAAAGGAATTAGTACAACTAGACTTGGTGTTTTGATCATGTTGGCAAAGAAAGCTCCATACACCACTAAACATACATAAGAGATGACATAAAGAACCAAATCTAGGTACACGATCTTCTTTATTTTCTGCCACTTCAGTGCTAGAAAAGTTAGCACAAGAGGGTGAATGATTAAGTGATTTAGACGCGTTTCTTGGGTCAAGTACGCCAAGAACTCACCCTCTGGCAAATCTTCATTCTTCGTAACCAACGACTTGTAGTCGATTTTTAACGAAAAGTTGCTTTCGTCGTTTTTTTGACCATTATCCCTCTTGATACAATTGTCGAAAAATTTTTCCAAAACCGTTGCTTCGATAGAACGAAGAGGAACATTCCCAAAATTGTCTTTATCGATAAGGGAGGCACCAAAAGAAAGTAAGGTTAGAGTGACATCAGGACATCCAAGAAGTACCGCATAGTGAAGAGGAGTTCGATCGAATTCGTCTGTCGTCGTGACGTAAAATTGAAGATGCTGTTTCTCGTTTCGTCGCAAGTGATTGCATATCATTTTCACGTACTTAGTAATAGGGCCGACGTCTTTTTGGGTGCAGAGTTTGAAAAGTGTGAGCAATATTTCGTCGGGTAGAGGGACATTTCGGTTGAGAAGTAGCTTGACGATGCTTTCGTGGTCTTCCAAGATCGCTATGATTATCGGAGGTGTTGGATTTTTCGAAATCACTCGATCCGGAGACGCCCCCTTGTTTAGAATGTACTCGACACAATCATGAAGTCCTTTAGCGCAGTACAACTGAAGAAGAGTGCAACTGGAGGATTTTTCGGCGTTTCCGTCTAAACCGTTGGCTTGGTCTTGGGTTTGGACGGGTGTGTTCCTCACCAATTCTGTGATGCTATTCATTCGACCAAACTTGAAACCACTGTTAACACTTTTGTCTTCCCTCCTCACTTTACTAAAGATTGTCTTCAGTTCATCGTCTTTGTTGATGAAGGATAGCGGACTTCTCTGTTCCGAGTCTTGTTGATTCACTGAAACCCCGTTTTTGACCAGTAGCTCGAAGCAAGCTTTAAACTGGTCACAGTCGGCGCGCTTCCCGTACTTCAAGAGAACGTTCAACGCGTTGTTCGAATACGTGTCTCCAATCTGTTCAGAACAGACGTTATACTTTTCTAGAACGTCCTTCGAACAATAGACGAGCGAGTTGACTTCTTGTAAATCTAGACGTCCGATGATGGCTTCCATTTTCTCTTTGTTGGCGTTGAGGGCGGTGTAGTGGAGAGGGTCCCAGTGGTCGTTCGTCGACGGTCTTTTAAAATCCTCGCCTAGTGCGTCCATAAGAATTTTGAGCGTCTCCTTTTTGACGCCACTCATTCCGTCTTGGTCTTTGCAAGCTATCATGAAGATGTTCTGATTGTCGCAGTCGTAGTACCTGTATCGCACGATTTCCTTGTTTCTGGATATCACGTCTTGGAGTTTCTTCAGGTTGTTGGCCTTGACTACGTTGAATAGTTCGCGGACTTCGTTCATGTTTGTGGACTCGTTCATCGGGATCCGGATAGACTAGAGAACATAAGATTATTTCTATTGTTATTGTTTTGATGAAGCTTACATTTGGAAGATATTTGGAGGGTTTGGGCGTCATGATGATCACTACAAGTCGTTGTTCTTACTATAAAGAAATCAGTTTGATTTATACATTTTGGGTACATATGTTGACTTACGATAAGGTGTTGTTGATTTTTCGCATTGTGTTTAAACAAACAGGGCTTTTATTGTTGTCTGCAAGATTATTCGTATTCGTACCTTGTTGTCGAAAAAATTGTAAAATGTGTTGCCTAATCTATAATACTGTAATAGCTGTTCAAAGTAACTACTATTGGCGACAGCCCCCTTATTCGACAATTCGACGTAAATCTTGAAATCCTCCCCCATTTTGACACTCGTGACGTTATTCCAAGAAGTCCAAGGGTTTACGAGCTTGTCGTGATTATCCGACGACACGAAAATCTCCACTTGATTCCAATCGAGGCCGTCTTTGTCCAAATCGCGGTCTTTTTGTCAAACAGGAAAATTTTAGCCCATGTTGCGGAGTCGATCATGCCGGAAATTTGATTTGAAGAAGAAGACTACGAAGAGTACCATAACGAGAAGTACCAATTTTACTTGTCTTTTACAGATTTTACTAATAGTAACCCTCGTCGTTGCAAGTCCCGCCAAATCTGCTCTTAGCCAAGATGAACTGAAGAACTTTTTGGCCACCGAGTACGAAAAATCGGCGTCTGCTATGTGCACGAAGGCCAACGAAGCAGAATGGAACTACGAAACGGACATCAACAACAAAGAAAAGCAGGACATTTTGGTAAACACTAGTTTCTGAAACAGTTGGACCCTAATTATGAATATTTTCTTAGCTCAATGTGACTCTGGAGTCCGCCGCTTTGGCCAAAAAGTACTGGCAAGATTATTTCAAAGACCTCAACCCTGACGACTACCAAGACGAACAGCTCAAAAGACAAGTCAAAAATTTGAGGATTTTGGGAAACGCTGCACTGAATGAAGAAAAACTGACCAAAGTGAGTGTTTTCTTTGAACGACTAGATCTTCAAGAGTACGTTTCAGCTAACCAAAGCTACCAACAACATGACCAACATCTACAGTACTGCTAAAATCTGTCCCTTCAGTAACCAAAAGTGCGACCTATCCAAAGAAGGTTTATCTCTCGAACCCGGAATCGAAGAAATTTTGGCGAAATCCACAAACTACGACGAGTTGGTTTACGCTTGGAAAGCCTGGAGAGATGCTTCCGGTGCCAAAATAAGAAGTCTGTACCAAACATACGTAGAACTGTCCAATGAAGCCGCCGTCGCTAACAGTAAGTCGGTAGTTTCAGTTTTCATAACCTAACCCGAGTAGAGTTTAAGGATAAAGGAGAACTGTGGAGGGACAGCTACGAATCGCCTACTTTTATCCAGGACATCGATGATCTGTGGACCCAAGTCGAACCACTCTATGCAGAACTCCACAAGTACGTCGGTCGCAAACTCAAAGAACGTTTTGGTAGTAAGCTTGACATTTCTGACGGGCTTATCCCGGCGAACGTCCTCGGGAACATGTGGGCCCAAGAATGGAACAACATAGCCGAGCTGGTGCGGCCTTTCCCGCAAGCCAGTAAAGTCGACGTGGATGCCGCCCTCAAACAACAAAAGTACTCAGTTTTGGACATGTTTAAAACCTCCGACGAGTTCTACAAGTCCATGGGTTTAATCCCGATGGAAGTGTGCTACAATACTAGTGCAGGAGCCATGATTGAGAAACCCACCGATGGTAGAGAAGTACTGTGTCACGCTAGCGCTTGGGACTTCTGCGACGGTCACAATTATAGAATCAAAATGTGTACGAACATCAATTTCGAGGACTTTATTGTCATCCACCATGAGATGGGACACATCCAGTACTTCATGCAGTACGCCAAGCAGTTGGTGATCTTCCGGGATGGAGCCAACCCAGGGTTCCACGAAGCCATAGGTGACACGATTGCGCTGTCGGTGTCCACGCCCAAGCACCTACAAAAGATCAATCTAGTGAAGAACTACACCGATAGTACCGAAGCTGCGATTAACGCCTTAATGGACACAGCGTTGCAGAAGGTGGCGTTCTTGCCTTTCGGGCTTCTTATTGACAAGTGGAGATGGGACGTTTTCTCGGGTAGGGTTACCCAAAATCAGTGGAATTCCCACTGGTGGGAGTACCGGAAGAAGTACCAGAAGGTGAAGCCACCGGTAGAGAGGTCGGAGAACGATTTTGACCCAGGGGCGAAGTTCCATGTGGCCGGAGATTCGCAATATATTGCGTAAGTTTGGATTGGGTCCAAATTTTTTTCTATAGTTTTGGTTTGTAGGTATTTCGTGGCGCATATTTTGCAGTTTCAGTTTTATAAAAGTCTGTGTGTTGCTGCTGGTGAATATAGCCCAGATTCTAAAGAAGTACCGCTGCATAAGTGCGACTTTTATGAGTCGAAGGCTGCTGGGGATTTGCTGAGGTACTTTTAATAGCTGGTGGTTTTCTTTACTAATTCCACTATTATTTTGCAGCAAGGGTCTGGCTTTGGGTGCTAGTAAGCACTGGAGTGACGCCCTGGAGCTCATGACTGGGTCAAGGAAATTGGACGCCATCCCACTTTTGGAGTACTTCAACCCACTCTACACATACTTGAAGGAACAAAATTCCAAATACTAGACAAAATTGTACTTTATTCACTGTCATTTGTCACAAAAAGTCAATAAAAACCTTAAAACATTATCTCAAATGCCAGGTCAAGTAAGGCCGGAATCGGAGCCTCTTTCTTTTCGACAGGTCAACTTTTGGAGTGGCAACCGTGCTGATGTAGCCTCCTGGTGGAGGATACAGGATCTTTTCGCAATAGTCGTTGTGTGTTTCAACCAGAATTTCATTTTCTTCAGTCAGAAATTGTCTTTCTTTTGAAAGGGCATAATGAGTACCATACGCTTTCCCGAGTCTCTGCCAGAACAAATCCATTTCTGGTCTAACAACCCCAAACTCCTGTCTACTCTCTGCGTCCAAGTCGCTTTCCTTAACCGCAGCCTTAGTACAAGGAAACGGCTGAATTTTCTCCTTCAACGTTTCGTGTTTCCTACAAACTGAAGCCATAGAAAGAATCATCTCGCCTTTTTTGTTCAAATTTTCCAAGTACTCGAAAACCTGGGAGCAGCTTTGGCTCAACAAAACCAGCTTGCTGAAGTCTGCTTTAGTGTCGCTGTCGAGTTTGATCTTCAATGAAAGAAAACTGTTGGCGAAGTACTGGCGTTCCTCTTGGGTATCCAGAAGCACATTGCCTTCGGTTTGCTTCATATCTATGTACTTCTGCTTGAGTTGGCGGATCATGTCGTAGAACCTCTTGAGTTGCTTGAACTGGTTGGCTATCACCTCTTGAATAGCGTCATCAGCCGCCTTCAACGCATTATGCTCCTTCCTCCTCTCCCTAATCTGCTTGTTGTACTTCCGGATGAACATCTTCATATCTTCGAACATCGTCTGGTACTTATTCTCCAAATTCGCTTTCAACTTCTGCAACAACAACTGGTTCTTCGCATCCACTTCATCCACCCTCGAGAAGTACTCCCCCCGCTTCAACCTAATATGCTCCTTCCTCTGCTGCTCCAGCTCGTACAACATCGTCTTCAAGTAGTTCATGTTCTCGTTGTTCACTTCGTTAATGTCCGTGAACTCGTTCTCGCACCGCTCCTCCATGGCTTTCACTTCAGACAAGAAGTCCACCTTGAGCTCGTCGAGTCTGTCGTGGAAGATGCCCATGAGCTCCTCCATGTTCTCCGCGTGGGCGCGGAAGTTGTGCATGTATTGCTCCTCGGAGTCCCGCAGCTCGTCTAGGAGCAGCGAGATGCTGAAGTCCTTGCAGTCCACGGCGCGCTCGAACTTGTGCCAGGCGAACTCGAGCTCGGCGCGCATGCGCGGCAAGGTGGACTTGATGAGCATGGCCTTCCAGTCCTTCTCGTATTGGCGGTAGGTGACTTCGCCATAGTGGACTTCGCGGCTGAGGTGGTCGCGTTTGAGCTGGAGCTTCTGCTCGAGTTTGCGCTGTTTCTTCTCGAGTTTGCGTTGTTTTTTCTCCTCGGGGGTGGGGCGGTGACGGTGTTTTGGAGGCATTGGGAGGTTTGACGGGAGATTGAAAGTGGGTTTCTTGATTTGGAAATTGTTTTATTCAGGGTTGGTTGTTATAGTTCCAAAATATTCTTCGAGGTTCTTTCAACAACAAAATGTTAGAGGTCCCTAAGACTCTTTCAAATTTTTTCAAAAATAAAACTCTTCAATTCTTAAAAAAAGACACTAGGGATCCACGAGATTTTGTCAACTTCTGCCAAAAACAAAACACCAGGACCCCGAGATTCTTTCAAGTTCTTAAAAAAATACTAGAGACCATAGAGATTTTCTCAAATTCTTTAATAGAAAGCATACCGAAGCCCAGAGGTTCGTTAAAAAAAACACCACCTAGATTCTTTCAAAGTATGTATTTAAAAAACAAAACACCAAGAAACCTTTGAAATTATATCAAATTCTTTAAGACAAAAAAGCTTTAGAAGCCCCCGAGATTCTTTCAAATTTTTTAATAAAAAGCACTGGGAACCCAGAGGTCTTTTCAAATTCTTAAAAAAGCTCTAGGGGCCACCGAAATTCTTTCAAAATAGTAAAAAAAACAAAATACCAATGGACTTCGAGATTCTATCAAATTCTTAAAGAAGGGCATTATAGTCCCCCGAGATTCTTTCCACTTCTTTTGAAAAATCAAATTCTTTAAAAAAGCATTAAAGACCCCCTAGATTCTTTCAATTCCTTCAATTTTTTTTATATAAAGCACAAGCGACTTCAGAGTTCTTTAATATTCTTAGAAAAGGCACTAGAACCACCGAGATTCTTTCAAATTCATTAATAAAATCAAATTTTCATTCACATTCTTAAAAATATACAAGGGACTCCTGAAATTCTTCCAAATTCTTAGCACTAGGGAGCACCGAATTTTTTTCAAAGAGAAAAGAAATACCACTTTAAAAATCCCAGAAAATTTCAAAAACATTAAAAAAACAATAAAAAATATCCAAAATATCCAAAGAAATCAAAAAGATTCAAACACAAAAAAAACAAAAGACCCAAAAAATTTAAAAAAAAATCCAGCAAATTAAAAAAGAAACGAGAACTTCAAGAAAAAATCAAAAAATTCCAAAAAAACCCAAAAATTGAAAAAAACTGAGTAAATCCAAGAAAGTCCAACAAAATAAAAAAATCCATGAAAAACAAAAAATTAAAAAAAAAAGAAATCCAAAAAAAAACAAAAATTCTAATTACTTCAAAAAAAATCCAAAGAAAATCAAAAAAGATCCAAAAAATAAAAAAAAAACGAAAGACCTAAAAAATCGAAAAAAATTGAGTCAATCCAAAAAATTCAGCAATTCCGAAAAAACCAAAGATTCAAAAAGGCCAATTTAAATGAAATCCAATAAACCCAAGAAAATCTAACGAAATCAAAAAAATACAAGAAAAACAAAAAATAACAACAATACAGAAATAAAAAAAAAACCAACAAAAAACAAAAAAATAAAAAAAAAAGTTTTAAAAAATCGAAAAAATAAAGAGAGAAAAAATGCAATTAAAAAACCCAAAAAAATCTGAAAAAGCAAAAGAAATCTAAAGAATTCTAAAAATCGAAGAAATCCAAAAAGTCCTAATTAATCCAAAAATATCCAAAATATCCAATAAAATAAAAAAGATCCAAAAAATAAACAACCAAAAGATCCAAAAAATCGAAAAAAATTGAGTAAATCCAAGATAACCCAACAAAATAATAAAAGAGTCCAAGAAAAACAATAAATTAAAAAAAAGAGGAAATCCAAAACAATGAAAAATGCAAAAAATAACAATTATTAAAAAATTTGAAAAAATTGGATGTATTCAAAAATTCCAAAGAATTGAAAAGTATCCAAAAAATCCAGACAAATCCAAGAAATTCAGAAGATCCAAAAAAATCAAAAAATTACAGAAAATTCGAAAAAATTCCAAACCTTTCTAAAAAGTCCAAAAAATCAAAAAAATGCAAGGAACCCAAAAAGCCCAAGTTATCTAATAGTCCAAAAGATCAAAAATATCCCAAAAATCTAAAAATTAAAAAATCAGAAAATAAAAAAGCAAAAAATAACTGTTATTCGAAAAGTCTAAAAAATTGAATAAATCCAAAAATTCCAAAAAATTGAAAAATATCCAAAAAATTCGGATAATTCCAAAAAATTACAGATCCAAAAAAGCCAAACAAATCCAAAAAAAAAAACAAAAAACCCAAAGATCAGAAAATAAAAAAAAAATACAACAAACCAAAAAAAAATGCAAAAAAAATACAAAAAAATAAAAAATTCATGAAACAAAAAATTAAAAAAAGAGAAAATTCCAAAAAATTCTCAAGATCCATAAAAGTCAAACAAAAAAGTCCAGTATGAACTCAAAAAAAACCCAAAAAATTAAAAAATATAAAAAATCTAACACAATAAAAAAAATACAAAAAACTCAAAAAATACAGAAAACCCAAAAAAAGTAAATAGTCTAAGAAAAAAATCAAAAACCTAAAAATCTAAAAAAAATCCAAATTAAAGAAAAATCCAAGCATTGAAAAAATTCGAAAACCCATTACATAAACGCAAGAAACACAAAACTCAAAAACTGGAAATGTCCACAAAATTATCAGAAAATAAAAAAGCACAATATAAGAATAATTCAAAAAGTCGAAAAATTGAAAAATATCCAAAAAAATCTAGAAAATTCCAAAAAATTCCAAACATCCAAAAAGACAAATCCATAAAAATCCAGTAATAAATAAAATAAAATCAAGGAATCCAATGATTCCAAAAATCTAAATCTAAAGTATGCAAAAAATCCAAAAGAACAAAAAAAAACAAAAATATGCAAAAAATGAAAATCCAAAAACTCCAAATTAATCCAAAAAAATCTAAAATATCCATAAAAATCAAAAAGATCCAAACACAAAAAAAAATTCAAAAGCTCCAAAAAATCGAAAAATTTGAGTAAATCCAACAAAATAATAACAAAGTCCAAGAAAAACGATAAATTAAAAAAAAAAAGGTAATCCAAAAAAAATCCCAAAAACTCAAAACAAATCCAAAAAAGTCCAAAAAAAAAACAAAAAAGTCCAAAAAATCCCAAAAAAAAAACAATAAAATGCAAATAAAATTTTAAAAATCCAAATACATACATATATCCAAAAATAAAAAAAAATCCAAGAAAACATTCAAAAAACCCAAAAAAAAATCCTTATTAATCCAGAAAAAATCAAAATACATATAAAAAAAAAACAAAAAGATACAAAAAAATCCAAAAAACTCCAAAATATCCAAAAAAAATCATAAAGATCCAAACACAAAAAAAAACCAAAAGACCCAAAAAGTCGAAAAAAATTGAGTACATTCAAAAAATCCAGCAAATTAAAAAAGAAGCGAGAAATCCAAGGATAATTCAAAAAAACCCAAAAAAAAAATAATGAAAGCAAAAAATTGAAAAAAATTGAGTAAATCCAAGAAAATCCAACAAAATAAAAAAAATCCAAGAAAACCAAAAAATTAAAAAAAAAACAAAAAATCCAAAAAATCCTAATTCATATAAAAAAAAGTATCCAAAAAAAAAATAAAAAGATCCCAAAAAAAATCAGAAAAACGAAAGACCTAAAAAATCGAAAAAAAGAGTCATTCCAAAAAATTCAGCAAATTCCGAAAAAAACCAAAAGATCCAAAAAGGCCAATCTAAATGAAATTCAAGAAACCCAAGAAAATCCAACGAAATCAAAAATATACAGGAAAAAGAAAAAAAATAACAATACAGAAAAAATAAAATGGAACAAAAAACAAAAAAGTCCAAAACAATAAAAAAAATCCAAAAAATCCAAAAAAGAAATAAAAAATCGAAAAAATAAAAAGAGGAAATCAAATGCAATTAAAAAGACCAAAAAAAATTTAGAAAAGCAAATGAAATCCAAAGAATTCTAAAAATCCAAAAATATCCAAAAAGTCCTAATTAATCCAAAAATATCCAAAAAATCGAAAAAAATTGAGTAAATCCAAGATAATCCAACAAAATAATACAAAAGTGCAAGAAAGACGATAAATTAAAAAAATAGGAAATCCAAAAAAAATCCCAAAAACTCAAAACAATTCCAAAAAATAAAAATCCAATTAATCCTATTAATCTAAAAAAATCCAAAATATCCAAAAAAATCCAAAAAATCAAAAAAAAAATGCAAAAAAAAAATTAAAAATCCAAATACATATATCCAAAAATAAAGAGAAAATCCAATAAAAATCCCAAAAACTCAAAACAAATCCAAAAAAGTCCAAAAAAAAAACCAAAAAAATCCAGAAAATTAAAATTCAAAAAATCCTATTAATCCAAAAAAATCCAAAATATCTAAAAAAATCTAAAAAATCCCCAAAAAAAAAAAACAATTAAATGCAAATAAAATTTTAAAAATCCAAATACGTATATCCAAAATAAAAAGAAATCCAAGAAAAATCCAAAAAACCCAAAAAATCCTCATTAATCCAAAAAAATCAAAATACATATCAAAAAAGTCAAAAAGATACAAAAAAATAAAAATAACCAAAAGATCGAGAAAATCGAAAAAAAATTGAGTAATTCCAAAATAATCCAACAAAATACAAAAGTCCAAGAAAAACGATAAATTGAAAAAAAAAACAGAAAATCCAAAAAAAATCCCAAAAACTCAAAACAAATCCAAAAAAGTCCAAAAAAACAAAAAATCAAAAAAATTAAAATCCAAAAAATCCTATTAATCCAAAAAAATCCAAAATATCCAAAAAATCTAAAAAATCCCAAAAAAAAACCATAAAATGCAAATAAAATTTAAAAAATCCAAATACGTATATCCAAAAATAAAAAAAAATCAAAGAAAAAATCCAAAAGACCCAAAAAAATCCTCATTAATTCAAAAAAATTAAAACACATAAAAAAAATCAAAAAGATACAAAAAAATACAAAAAAAAAATAAAAGAGCCATAAAATCGAAAAAAAATGAGTAAATCAAAAAAATTCAGCAAATTCTAAAATATCCAGAAGATCCAAAAAACCAGTTCCAATGGAATCCAAGACACCCAAGAAAATCCAACAAAATCGTAAAAAATCTAAGAAAAACAAAAAAGTAAAGAAACACGAGAAATCCAAGAAAAATTAAAAAAAATCTAAAAAAAAATAAAAAACCCAAAAAATCGAAAAATCGAGCCAGCAAATTCCAAAATATCCAGAAGATCCAAAAAATCCAATTCCAATGTAATCGATGAAACCCACACAAACAAAAACAAATAAATAAAAAAAATAATAAAAAACCAAAAAAAATCCTAAAAAATGCAAACAAATCCAAAAAATTAAAACAATTTAAAAAAAAAATCCAAAAAATTCTAATAAAAATCTAGATAAATTCAAGCAAATCCGAAAATCTAAAAAAGCTCCAAAAAACCAAAAATAAATTCCCTAAAAACTTAAAATAAAAAAACTGAAAGATTGAAGAAATTCCAAAAATTCAATAAAAACAATATTCAAAACTTAAAAATTCAAAAAAAATCCAAAAAATTGAAAAAGTGAATTAAAAGCCAAAAAACTCAAGAAATGCAAGAAACCCAAGAAACCCAATAATCCAATAAATCGGAAAATCCAAATATTCAAAAATATCCCAAATATAAAAAAATACAAAATTAAAAAAATACAAAAATATTTCTCAAACTATAAGACTTTTTCATTTACTCAGTTTTTCAATGTTTGATTTTTTTTTCAATTTCTCGGTATTTAATTCTCGATCTTTTCATGTTACTGTTTTTCGATTTTACAATTTTGATAGTCCTACATGTTTCGATTTTACAATTTTTTGATTTTGCAATTTTTGGCTTTTTGTTTTTCGATTTTTCAATCTTTAATCAAAAGTGGAAAAATTACAAAATGTATTATAAAATGAAAACTTTGAAAAATCTAAAACTTGTAAATCAAAAAACTGTAAAATTCAAGACACGAAAAGTTACAAAATCGATTTGATTTAGCGAATTTTATTTTTTTATAATAACCCTTACAAGTTAAAGAAACAGTTAAACGTCGAGGAAACATAAAAATGTCAAGTCGCCCAATGGACTCCAAATTACGAATAACCGTGAAAAGTGGCCTTTACTTTCCGCCAAAACTCATCTGTCACAATGGCATATTACGTAATCGCAGGCAAATTAACGTGCCTGAATACCACCCACGCCCTCCATATAGCCGAAACGTTGTCCCTCCGCCTCCCAAACTTCCACTACCGGCGCATCCTGAAATCAGACTACGACTGGCCGGTAAAACCCCGCAACAACAAATCCCAAAATAAAATCTTCCTTCCAGATATGGCTGGACCAACTAAACAGTACCAACAACTGGCACGAAACCTGCTGTCCCCTAGCCTGGAAGGAAGTCGGCCAAATGGGCGGAAAACCTCACCTCATCGGCAACCTGGGGCACTTCTGGGAGTACTGCTTCGACTACTACGGAATCCAGTCGTGGTTGTCCAAAACCGACCTGGAGAAAATCAAGGCGGACGACGCCCTCATGGTAACTTATTCCCTCAAACGGTGAAACCCCGCTTCACTGTCTGTTTGTTCAGCACACGTCGGGGAATAAAACCTCCTCTGAACCCCAGAAGATCAGCATCACCGACGCCAACACTCACCCGATGCTGGAACTCGTCATCTACGAGTTGCAGCAACTTTTCTCCCCCAGCACTCTGGAAATCAAGTTGTACGACGCCAACATCCCCGACGATGAAGACACGGATGTTTTCATGCTGGAAACCCTGGAGAGTTACCAGGTGAGCGGCAAGAGCAGTCCCCAGAGCATCGTCTTGGTGTCTACTCTTCGGGAAGCGCTCCAGAACTGTGACGTGTTGATAGTTCTGGGGGACTACCGCAGGTTTGGGTTTGAATTTGTTAAGTACGCGCCAATTTTGGCACTTAGGGATGTGCGTTTTGAATGTAGGGATTTTTGTAGAGGTCCGAGAGGCGCGTTCTCTGGTTAGTGAGATCGGTTTATTTAGTAGGTATATAAAAATTAAATTTTATTGTATGCTTTAGCCTTTGACGACACTGCATAAAATGTCAGGTCCGAAAAATCCGAAAATTCCGAAAAAATCCGAAATTCCAAAAAACCTAAGAAACTCAAGATATTCAATAATACAAAAAAAATCGTAACTTATCAAAAAGTCCAAAAAATCAAAGAATTCACTTTCCATTAAATCTAAAAAACCCTCTAAAAAAATAAAAAAACCTCTAGTAATCCAATCATTGCAAAAAAATCCAGCAAAATCGAAAGTATCATAAAAATCCAAAAAAAATGAAAAATGCAAAAAATAATTATCCAAAAAATTTGAAAAAATTTAATAAATTTAAAGAATCTAAAGAATTGAAAAGTATCAAAAAAATCCGGATAATTCCAAAAAATTCCAAAGATCCAAAAAACCCAAAAAATCCAAAGATCAGAAAATAAAAAAGCAAAAAGTAAGAATTATTCAAAAAGTCGAAAAAATGAATAAATTCAAAAATTCAAAAAATCAAAAATTCCAAAAAGTTCACAAAACTCAAAAAATGTAGGCAAAAGAACTCGAGAAAACCAATCATTCAAAATATCGAAAACATCCGAAATATTCAAATAAATTTAACAAATCCAAGGAAAACAAGTAATTAAATAAAAAAAATCAAGCAATCCAATAATTCCAAAAATCTAAATTTAAATTTAAAGTATGCAAAATCCAAAAGTTCTAAAACAGCCAAACAAATATAACAATACTCAAAAAACCAAAGACGCCAAAAAAACAAAAAATAAAGAAAAATCCAGTCAATTCTAAAAATAAAAATATCCCAAATCAAAAAAAAACAAACAATTTTTAAAAAACCAAAAAAACCCAAGAAATGCAAGAAACTCAAGAAAGTCAAAATAGCCAAAATCCAAAGAGTCGGAAATATCCAGAACATTCAAAAACATCTAAAAAATCAATGAATTTATAAAAAAATCGAAAAATCCAAGAAACTCGAGAAATTGAAAAAACTCGGGAAATTCAATAATTCCATGAATCCAAAAAAACAAAGTTTCGAAAAAATACAAAAATCGGAAAATAAAAAAGCAAAAAATAACAACTATCCAAAAAATATTCCGTAACATTAAAAAAATCCAAGAAAATCTGAACAAATCCAAAAAACAAAAAAAATCAAAAATCCAGAAAATGTAAGAAAATCCATAAAATATAAGTCAGAAAGTAAAAAAGCAAAATTAACAATTATTCAAAAAGTCGGAAAAATTTAATAAGGCCGAAAATTTCAAAAAATTTAGAAATATTCAAAAGAACCTAGGAAATTCCAAAGATGCAAAGATCCAAAAAAGCAAAAAAAATTAAAATGTCCAAGTTAAGCCCCCAAAAAAATCCAAAAAAAAGAAAACAAAAACATGGAAAAAAATCCCAAAAATACAAAAAATCTAAAAATCCAAGAGGATCGAAAAAGATAGAAAAAGTCCATAAAATATAAGTAAAAAGTAAAAAATCAAAAATAACAATTATTCAAAAAGTTCGAAAAATTTAATATAGCCAAAAATTTGAAAAAAATTTAAAATATTCAAAAGAACCTAGGAAATACCAAAGTTGCAAAGCTCCAAAAAAGCCAAAAAAATCTAAAAATGCCCAAGTTAAAATCTCCCAAGAAGATAAAAAAAAAACAAAAGCATGCAAAAAAATCCAAAAAAATCCGAAAAAAACAAAAAAACAATTAAAAAAAAAACGGAAAATCTAAGAAAATCCAAGACGATCGAAAAAGATAAAAAAGTCCATAAAATATAAGTCAAAAGTAAAAAATCAAAAATAACAATTATTCAAAAAGTTCGAAAAATTTAATATAGCCAAAAATTTGAAAAAAATTTAAAATATTCAAAAGAACCTAGGAAATACCAAAGTTGCAAAGCTCCAAAAAAGCCAAAAAAATCTAAAAATACCTAAGTTAAAATCCTCCAAGAAGATAAAAAAAAACAAAAGCATGCAAAAAAATCCAAAAAAATAAAAAAAAAAACAAAAAAACAATTTAAAAAAAAACGGAAAATCTAAGAAAATCCAAGACGATCGAAAAAGATAAAAAAGTCCATAAAATATAAGTAACTCAGAAAGTAAAAAAGGAAACATAACAATTATTGAAAAAATCGGAAAAATTGAATAAAAACAAAAATTTCAAAAAATTGAAAAATGTTCAAAAGAACCTAGAAAATCCCAAAGATGCAAAGATCCAAATAAAGTCAAAAAAATTCAGAAAAGTCCAAGTTAAAGCCCTAAAAAATTCAAGAAAATTCGAAAAAATACAAAAAACCCAAAAAAATAAAAAAAATCAAGAAAATCTAAGAAAATCCAAGAGGTATCGAAAAAAATAAAAAAATAAAAAAATTCATAAAATATAAGTCCGAAAGTAAATAAGCAAAATTAACAAATATTCAAAAAGTCGGAAAAATTGAATAAAGACAAAAATTTCAAAAAATTAAAGCCCCAAATAAAATTAAAAAAATAACAAAAATATGCAAAAAATCCAGAAAATTTAAAAAATCCAGAAAATCTAAAAAAATCCAAGAGGATCGCAAAAGATAAAAAAAACAAAATATAAGTCAGAAAGTAAAAAACAAAATTGACAATTATTCAAAAAGTCGGAAAAATTGGATAATGACAAAAATTTCAAAAAATTGAAAAATATTCAAAAGAACCTAGGATGCTAACATACAAAAAAGCCAAAAAAATCTAAAAATGTGCAAGTTAAAGCTCAAAAAATCCAAAAAAGACAAAATAATGCAAACAAATCCAAGAAAATACGAAGAAATCCAAAAAAAATTTTTTAAAAACCAAAAAAAACAGAAAATGTAAAAATCTAGGAGTATCCAAAAAACTAAACAAATCCAAAAAACAAACATCCCGATTAACCCAAAAAAAATCTAAAAAAAAAGTAAAAAAAAAACAAAAATTCGAAAAAATACAAAAGTACAAAAAAATTACAACAAACCAAAAAAAAATCAAAAAATACAAAAAAATTGAAAAAAAACAAAAACTTCAAAAAAATAAAAAATTCATGAAAACAAAATTAAAAACAGAAAATTTCAAAAAATTTTCAAGATCCAAAAAAGTCCGATATAAACTCCAAAAAAAATCCAAAAAATTCAAAAATAAAAAAAATCCAAAAAAAAAAAAAACAGAAAACCCAAAAAAGTAAATAGTCTACGAAGTTAATTCAAAAAAAATTAAAAAATAAAAAAGCCAAAAATCGAAAAAAAAAATTGGAGTACAAATTAATGCAAAATCCAAACATTGAAAAAATTCGAAAAACCCACGAAATGCAAGAAACACAAACTCAAAATATCCAATAATCCGAAAACTGGAAATGTCCACAAAATTATCAGAAAATAAAAAAGCACAAAATAAGAATAATTCAAAAAATCGAAAAAATTGAAAAATATCCAAAAGAATCTAGAAAATTCCAAAAAATTCCATACATCCAAACATTTAAAAGTCCAAAAAAAATCCAAAATAAAGTCCAAAAAATTCAAAGATCCCAAAAAACGAAACAAATTCATTAAAAAATCCAAAATAAAGTCTAAATAAATAAAAAAATCAAAAATAAATGCAAAAAATCCAAAGAATCCATGAAATCCAAACAAAGCCAAAATGTTCACAAAACTCAAGAAATGCGAGAAAATAACTGAAGAAATCCAATAATTCAAAAAATCGAAAACATCCAAAATATTTTAAAAAATCTAACAAATCCACGAAACACAATTAATAAATCAAATAAAATCAAAGAATCCAATGATTCCAAAAATCTACATCTAAAGTATACAAAACCCAAAAGTCCAAAAAAACAGCCAGACAAATATAACAAAACTCAAAAAAAACAAAAGACCCCAAAAAACAAAAAAATAAAAACAAAACAGTCAATTCTAAAAATATAAATATCCCAAATCAAAAAAACCCAAAAAATTTTTAAAAATCCAAAAAAGCCCAAAATAATGAAATGCAAGAAACTCAAAATAGCCAAAATCCAAGAAGTCGGAAAACATTTAAGAAATCAATGAATTTATAAAAACATCGAATAGAATAATCCAAGAAACTCAAGAATTTAAAAAAAACTCGAAAAATTCAATAATTCCATGCATCCAAAAGAACATAAAGTTTCGAAAAAATACAAAAATCGGAAAATAAAAAAGCAAAAAATAACAACTATCCAAAAAATATTCCGAAACATGCAAAAAAATCCAAGAAAATCCGAACAAATCCAAAAACCCCAAAAAATTCAAAATCCCAGAAAATGTGAGAAAATGCAAGATCGAAAAAGATAAAAAAATCCATTAAATATAAGTCAGAAAGTAAAAGAGCACAATTAACAATTATTCAAAAAATCGGAAAAATTTTATAAAACCGAAAATTTCAAAAAATTTAAGAATATTCAAAAGAACTTAGGAAATTCCAAAGATGCAAAGATCCAAAAAAGCAAAAAAAAACTAAAAATTAAAGCCGAAAAGAAATTAAAAAAATAACGAAAACATGCAAAAAATTCAAGAAAATTTAAAAAATCCAGAAAATCTAAGAGGATCGGAAAAGTTAAAAAAAAACATAAAATAGAAGTCAGAAAGTAAAAAAGCAAAATTGACAATTATTCAAAAAGTCGGAAAAATTGGATAATGACAAAAATTTCAAAAAATTGAAAAATATTCAAAAGAACCTAGGATGCTAACATCCAAAAAAGCCAAAAACATCTAAAAATGTGCAAGTTTAATTTCAAAAAAATCCAAAAAAAAAAACAAAATCATGCAAAAAATTCAAGAAAATCCGAAAAAATCCAAAAAAAAAGTATAAAAAATCCGAAAAACCAGAAAATCTAAGAAAATATAAGAAAATCTATTAGCATCCAAAAACTAAACAAATCCAAAAAAACATCCAGATTAACTCAAAACAATCTAAAAAAAAGTAAAAAAAAAAACGAAAAAAATGCAAAAAATACAAAAAAAAAATCCAGAAAATCTAAGAAAATCCAAGAGGTATCGAAAAAGATAAAAAAATCCATAAAACATAAGTCAGAAAGTAAAAAAGCAAAATTAACAAATATTCAAAAAGTCGGAAAAATTGGATAATGACAAAAATTTCAAAAAATTGAAAAATATTCAAAAGACCTAGAATGCTAGCATCCAAAAAACCCAAAAAAAAATCTAAATATGTGCAAGTTAAAGTTCAAAAAAAACAAAAAAAAATACAAAATCATGTAAAAAATCAAAAAAAAAACGAAAAAATAAAAAAAAAGTTTAAAAAACCCGAAAAACCAGAAAATCTAAGAAAATGTAAGAAAATCTATTAGCATCCAAAAAACTAAACAAATCCAAAAAAACAAACATCCAGATTAACCCAAACAATCTAAAAAAAAGTAAAAAAAAATTCGGAAAAAATGCAAAAAATACAAAAAGGCAAAAACTTCAGAAAAATAAAAAATAAAAAATTCATGAAAAAAAAATAAAAACAGAAAATTCCAAAAAATCCAAAAAATCCATGAAATCCAAAGAAATCCAAAATGTTCACAAAACTCAAGAAATGCGGGAAAAATAACTGAAGAACTCCAATAATTCAAAAAATCGAAAACATCCAAAATATTTAAAAAAATCTAACAAATCCACGAAACACAAGCAATAAATCAAATAAAATCAAGGAATCCAATGATTCCAAAAATCTAAATCTAAGTCCAAAGTATGCAACAAATCCCAAAGAACAAAAAAAAAACAAAAAATCCAAAAAAAATCAAATATTCCAAAAAATTGAAAAGTAACGAAAAATCCACGAATGTCCAAAAAATTCTTAAGAACCAAAAAATTCAAACACAAAAAACCCAACAAAGTCCAAAGTGAAGTTCTAATAAATCCAACAACATCCAAAAAGATTCCAAACAAATCAAGAGTATTAAAAAAAATCCAAAAAAAAATCAAAAAATCCAAAAAATTTAAAAGACACAGAAAACCTCAAAAAATCAATGTTCCAAGAAAATCCAAAAATCAATCCAGAAGATATTAAGATATCCAATAATCCAAAAACAGGAAATTTTCAAAAAAATCCAGGAAATGCAAAAAATCAAAGATTTACAAAATCCAATAAATCTATAAATTCGAGAAACTCAAGAAACTCAAAAAACTGAAGAAATCCAATAATTGCAAAAATCCAAAGTCTCAGATTTCCCAAAAATACAAAAAAATCAGAAAATAAAAAAGCAAAAACGGTTCCAGAAAATCGAGAAAACTGAATAAAACCGAAAAAAGTCTGAAAAATCCAACACTCCAAAAAATGCGAAAAATCCAAAAAACTCAAAACTAAACTGAAGACTTAAATTAATACAAGACTATTTAATTCAGGCCATAAATTGATGCTTGTTATTTTATTATTTTTAACTAATTGGTTTTAATTTTTTAAACTCTTTTAGATATGTGTAATAATATAATCATCATACATAAAAAAAAAATTAAAGACTACATTCCGCCTTCCGCAAGAACACCACAAACCACGAAAATTTAGGGAAAACCCTAATTTCCTCCAGACTTCCAGACGAAGCCGCCGACGACTGGCTCAACCGCTGCCGCCTCAACATGATAATCCTCGCCGACGAGATCAACTCCTCCGCCAGCCGCAGCCTCAAGGTCATCCTGAACCACCCCGGCCCCATCTGCTTCAACGCCTCCGTGCTCATGGAGTACTGCACCCAGATAAGGCTGAGCAACATCGTCGCCGTGACCACCGACGAGGGCCTCTCCGTCATCAGCACCATCGCGCATCAGGTGGACCGGCCCGTGGAGCACTTCTGGTGCCCCGCGGTGTGGGGCTTCTCGGGGATCATGTCCTTCGTGGGCGTCGCCTGCACGCCCCTCACCCAGGTGGTCATCCAGCCCTACAAGAGGTCCCTCAAGACCAAGGAGTCCAGCAAGCTGCCCAAGGGGGAAATCGTGGTCGAGATAAAGTTCGTGGAGAATTTGCTCAAAACCGAGGAATTATTCTACGAGGAGCTGGAGCACAGGAAGGAGAGGGAGTTGGATATTCTGCAGCGGCCGCCGGTTTTGGCGAAAGTTAGGGCTTTGGCGAGTTTACTGAAGCTGTGGTTCGCGGAGGTGGTGACCGACGAGATAATCTCGTTGGGGGTTTGCTCGAATGGTAAGAGTGGAGAGATGGGGTTGGTGGTGATTTGTGGTGTGTGTAGGAGCTTTCAGGTTTCCTCCAGGGGTTTGCTTTTCGCAGCCGGTTAGTCTGAACGAGAAGCGGATTTGGGAGCCGGTGGCGAGTCTGCCTTTGACTTCGTTGACGCAGAGGAAGGTGGCGGATATTGTGCTTCAGGTCGAAGGGCACTTGAAGAATTTCGGGATCGGGGATAGGTTGAGATGAGTTTTTTACGAATTTTATATAAATTTATTTATATATATATATATTTGTTATAAAAAAAATCTGTAAATTATTTTTCTATTTTTTAAAATAAATTTGTTAATAAATAATAAACACTTTTTTGAAAATTCATTATTTTGTTTGAATACATTCGTCGACCATATTTTAAGTATTTAAAAGAATCTAAGAGCTACTTGTGTTTTATTTTTAAAAGAATTCGAAAGAATCCTTGAGACCATAATGTGTTTTTTTTTAAGAAATTTAATAATAATTTATAATAATCATATAATATAATTTCTTAGTGCTTTATATTAAAGAATTTGAAAGATCCTCGGGGTCCTTTGGAGTTTTCTTTTTGAGAAAAATTGAAAGAATCGGGGGCTTCCCAGTGCTTTTTTAAGAAATTCTTTTGGGTTTTGTTTTCGAATTTATTTTTGATGCTTTGGGTTTTTTGATATTTTTTTAATTCATCGGATTTGTTTTGGGAATTTTTAGATTTCTTAGTTTTTTTGGATATTTTTTGGTTTTTTGAGTTTCTTGGATTTTTCGGATTTTGTAAGTGCGTTGATTTTTTTTTTGATGATTTTGAATTATTTGGATTTTTTCAGTTTATTGGATTTTTCGATTTTTTGAATAGATTGGATATTTTGTTTTTTTTTGGATTTTTGTGGTTTTTTAGTGTTCGGGATTTTTATTTTGTTTGAGTTCTTTTTTATATTGCTTACTTTTTTTCGATATTATGGATTTTTCTAATATTTTCGATTTATTGGAATTCTCGTTTTCTTTTTAAATCCTTGAATTTCTTGGATTTGTTAGATTTTTTGTTTTTTGAATTTTTGGATATTTTAATTTTGCATTTCTTAGGTTTTTTGGATTTTTTTGTGCTTTTCGGGGTTTTTTGGATTTCTTTTCTTGGGTTTTTTGGATGTATTCAATTTATTTCAATTTTTTGGATAGTTGTTATCTTTTGCTTTTTTCTCGATTTTGTATTTTTTGTATTCTCCATTTTTTTTTAATTATTGATGTTCCTGTGTTTCTTGAGTTTCTTGAGTTTCTTAGATTTTTTGGGTTTCGTAAATTCATTAGTTTTTTTAATGTTTTTTTTAATTTTTTACATATTTCCGATTTTTTGGATTATTGAATATCTTGAGCTGCTTGAGTGTCTTGCATTTCTTGAGTTCTTTGGATTTTTCAATTTTTTTATATTTTTCGATTCATTGGATTTAGGGTTCTTTTGTTTCTTTGAGTTTTTTGGATTTTCTTGGGTTTTTTTCTTTTGCTTTTTGGATATTTTCGATTTTTTGGATTTGTAGAATTATTGGATTTCTTGAGTCCTTTCCTGCATTTCTTGGGTTTTTTGAAATTTTTTGGAAATTTTGAATTGGATTTTTAGATATTAGATTCTTCAATTTTTCAAAACATTGGTGGCTAATTTTTAGATCTTTCATAATTTTTCGCTTTTTCATTTTTGAGTTTTTCAATTTTACAATTTTATACTTTTTCCCTTTTTTGATTCGAAAAGTTGAAAATCGATAAATTAAAAATCGAAAAAGTTTAAAACCGAAAAACTCTTGGTTTCATTAATTTTTTGTTTTTTTTTATTTTATAGGATTGTTTAGAATTTTTTGATATTTTGTTGGATTTTGTAGGATTTATTTTTTTCTTTTTTTATATATTTTCGATTTTTTTTTTTTTTTTGGAATTAATTTGGATTCTTTTTTATTTTCTTCTTGGGTTTTTTGGATTTATTCAATTTATTTCGAATTTTAATAGTTATTTTTTTCTTTCTTATTTTCCTTTCTTTGTATTTTTTGGATACGCTATATTTTTTTTTGGATTTTTTCGAGTTTCTCGAGTTTCTTGAGCGTCTTGGATTTTTTGGATTTTCTGGATTTTGTAACTTCATTGATTTTTTGGATGTTTTGGATTATTGGATATCTTGGACTTCCAGCATTTGTTGAATTTTTAAAATTTTTTGAATTTTTGATTTTTGGGATTGGGGTTATTTTTATTTTTTGGATTGATTAGTTTTTTTTTGTCCTTTTTTTGTTTTTTCCGGATGTTTTTTTAGGATTATTTATATTTGTTTGGCTCTTTTTGCATCTTTTGGATTTTTTGGATACTTTCGATTTTTTGTATTTTTGAAATGATTGGATTTCTCGGATTTGTTCGATTTTTTAAATATTTGGGCTATTTTCGATTTTTAAATTATCAGTTTTCTTGAGTTCTTTCCTGCATTTCTTGGGTTCCTTGGAGTTTTTTGGAAATTTTGGATAGGATTCTTCAATTTTTCGTTTCTTCAGTTTTTCAAGTTCTTCATGTCCAATTTTCATTTTTGATTTTTCAATTTTACAATTTTGTACTTTTTTCATTTTTGAATTTGAAAAGTTGAAAAATCGAAAAATTAAAAATCAAAGAACTCAAAATAGGAAAAAGTTGAAAGATCGAGAAACTCAAAAAACGAAAAATGGCAATAATAAGAAACTTTTAAAACAAATAAATGAAAAATGATTATTTTGGATTCATTTGGATTTATTTGGCTTTTTTATATTTTCCATTTTTTTAGAGTTTTTGGATTTATTCAATTTTTTGAATAATTATTGTTGTTTTTTGCTTATTTTATTTTTTTATTGTGAATTTTTTGGATTATTAGAATATTTTTGATTTTTTGGATTTTTGAAATTATTAGAAATGAGTTTCTTGCGCTTTTTGAATTTTTCTTAACTTTTCGAATTTTGGATATTTTATTTTTTTTTTAATTATTTTGAGAATTTATTTTTCTTGTTACCGGCTTTTTAGATTTTTTTGGAATTTTTTATTTCATGAATTTTTTTGTTTTTTTTTTATTTTTATAGTTATGTTGTTCTTTCTGTTTTACGTGCTTTTTCGTGTTTTTTTATTTTTTGCACTTTCTCTTTGGTATTTTGTTGGGTTTTTTAGATTTTTCTGGATTTTTTTGGATTTTTTTTGATCGTTTGGATGTTTTTGGGTTTTCCGTAGTTTTCTATTTTGTTCGATTTTTTGGATAGTTGTTATTTTTTGTTTTTATTTTCTGATTTTTGTATTTTTGTGAATTATTCTTGGGGTTTCTTGAGGTACTTGGATTTTTTTATTTTTTGGATGTTTTTGATATTTACAATTTTTTTAAATTTAGATGTTCAACGTTTAGATCTTTCATACTTTTTAATTTTTTTATTTTTGGTTTTTTAGTTTTACAATTTATTTGTACTTTTTTCATTTTTTGATTCGAAAAGTTGAAAAATCGAAAAATTAAAAATCGAAGAACTCAAGATCGGAAAAAGTTCAAAAATCGAAAAACTCAAAAAACAAAAAATGGCAGTTGAATAAATAAGAAACTTTTAAAATCCAATAAATGAAGAATGATTTTTGGATTCATTACCTAAATTTTTGGTGTTTTTTGTTTTTTTTATTCTTTGTTTTGTTTTTTTATTTTTTCAGATTGTTTAGATTTTTTCATGTTATTGGATTTTTAAGGATGTATTTTTGTTTTTTTTTTATTTTTTAGATTTTTTTTTTTAATTAATTTGGATTCTGTTAGATTTTTTGGATTTTCTTAGGTTTTTTGGATTCATTCAATTTATTTCGAATTATTTGATAGATTTTTTTACTTTCTTATGTTCCTTTCTTTGTATTTTTTGGAAAAGCTATATTTTTTTGGATTTCTCCGAATTTATTGAGTTTCTTGATTTTCTTGGATTTTTTGGAATTTTTGGATTTTGTAAATTCATTGATTTTTGGGATGTTTTTGAATTTTCTCGATATTTCCGATTTTTTGGATTATTGGATATCTTGGGTTTCCTGCATTTATTGAATTTTTAATTTTTTTTGAATTTTTGATTTTTGGGATTCTGGTTATTTTACTTTTTGGATTGATAGGATTTTTTGTTTTATTTTTTTGGTCTTTAATTGCTTTTTGGATGTTTTGTTTTTATAGGGATTTTTATAATTGTTTGGCTCTTTTGTATTTTTTGAATTTTTTGGATACTTTCGATTTTTTGCATTTTTCAAATTATTGGATTTCTCGAATTTGTTCGATTTTTTGGTTTTTTTAATATTTGGGATATTTTCGATTGTTTAAATTATCAGTTTTCTTGAGTTCTTTCCAGCATTTCTTGGGTTTCTTGGAGTTTTTTCGAAATTTTGGATAGGATTTTTCAATTTTTCGTTTCTTCAATTTTTCAAGTTCTTGATGTCCAATTTTCATTTATGATTTTTCAATTTTTCAATTTTGTATTTTTTTCATTTTTTAATTTGAAAAGCTGAAAAATCGAAAAATTAAAAATCAAGTCAAAATAGGAAAAAATTGAAAAATCGAGAAACTCAAAAAACGAAAAATGGCAATGGAATAATAAGCAACTTTTAAAACCAATAAATGAAAAATGATTGTTTTGGATTCATTTGGATTTATTTGGCTTTTTGATATTTTCCAATTTTTTAGAGGTTTTGGATTTATTTAATTTTTTTAATAATTATTGTTATTTTTGCTTATTTTATTTTTTGATTTTGAATTTTTTGGGTTATTATGATATTTTTAATTTTTTGGATTTTTGGAGTTTTTGAGTTTCTTAGGTTTTTTAGAATGGTTGGATTTTGTAAATTCATTAATTTTTTGGGTTTTTATAAATTTTTTGGATTATTGGAAATGAGTTTGTCGGGTTTCTTGCATTTCTCGGGGATTTTACTTTACTTTTTGAATGTTTTTATTTTTTTTTTATTTTTTGGATTCGGGATTTTATTTTAATTTTTGGTATTTATTGGAATTTTCCGAATTTTTTTGATTATTTTGAATTCTTTCAATTTTTCGGATATTTTTTATTTTTTTAATCTTTTGAGAAATTATCTTTTGTGTTTTTTCTTATTTTTTACACTTTTTTAGATTTTTCAGTGTTACAAGTTATTTGTACTTTTTCCATCTTTTGATTCGAAAAGTTCAAAAACCGAAAAATTAAAAATCCTAGAACTAAAAATCGGAAAATATTGAATAATAGAAAAACTCAAAAAACGAAAAACGGCAATCGAATAAATAAAAAACTTAAAATCCAACAAATGAAAAATTATTAGTTTTTTGGATTCATTTGGATTTGTTTGCTTTTTTGATATTTTTATATTTTTCAGAGTTTTTGTATTTATTCAGTTTTTAGGAGTTTTTGAATAATTGTTATTTTTTGCTTCTTTTATATTCTGATTTTTGAATGTTGGAATTTTTGGTTTTCCTGGGTTTCTGAGTTTCTTGAGCTTCTTGGGTTTTTTCGAAATTTTTGGATTCTGTAAATTCATTTAATTTTGAATTTTTATAAATTTTTTTAAAAAATCCGATTTATTGGATTGTTATTTTTTATTTTTTTTTTTGATTTTTGAATATTTTAATTTTTTTTTGAATGTTTTGGGAATTTATTTTTGGTGTTTTGAGCTTTTCAGATTTTTTTTTGAATTTTTTAGTTTTTTTTGTTTTCTATTTTTCGGATTTTTTTTTGGATTTTCCAATTTTTTTTTTATTCTTTTGGATCCTTTCAGATTTTTTTTTGAGGTTTTAGATTTTCTCGGGTTTCTTGGATTTATTCTAGTTATTTCGATTTTTTGGATATTTGTTATTTTTTGCTTTTTTATTTTCCGATTTTTCAATTTTTTGGATACTTTATATTTTTTTGGATTTTTGGAATTAATGAATTTCCTGAGTTTTTTGGGTCTTGAATTTCTTTTTTGGATTTTATATACTTTTATTATTTGGATTGATTGGAGTTTTTGTTGTTTTTGATTTTTTGTTTGATTTTTTTTAGTTTTTTTATATTTATTTGGTTTTTAATAATAATTTGGCTTTTTTGAATCTTTCAAATTTTTTGGATTTTTGGAATTATTGAATTTCTTGGATTTCTTAGATTCTTAGATATTTTGGTTTTTTGAATATTTTGGACATTTTCGATTTCTTGAGTTCTTTTGAAATTTTGGATGGAGTTTTTCTATTATTCGTTTCTTCAGTTTTCAAGTTCAATGTTTAGATCTTTTCATACTTTTCAGGTTTTGTACTTTTTCCATTGTTTGATCAAAAAGTTGAAAAATCGAAAAATTAAAAATCGGCGAACTAAAAATCCGAAAAAATTGAAAAATTAAAAAACTCAAAAAACGAAAAATATCAGTCGAAGAAACTTTTAAAACTCAATAAATGAAATATGATTTTTTGGATTCATTTGGGTTTTTTGATATTTTATGATTTTTTTTGGATTTTTTGAATAACTGTTTTTTGCAGATTGATGAAAAATTGAAGAAATGAAAAATGAAAAGCCCAAAATTAAAAACTGATGTTACATTAAAAAATGTGTAAAATCCAAAAATTGAAACATCCAAAATTTGGAAAAACTTAAAAACTGGATATTCGAAGAATCGCAAATAAAAAATTGTAAAAACTAATTGACCTGACCTGACCTTTATACGCAATTAATTGCCTGTTTAAAACATTCACCATTTGAATTTGGCGCCACGAGAAAGCGTGACATCAGCACCATTATTCACCTACTGTCTCCAATTCCAAAAAATAAATAATCAAAACAGAGTATAGTCAGTTTTTATTTTAAAATTTAGCTTCCAAGTGTACAACACTTCAATTACATAAACACTTACACATACACACTGCCTAAATCTTCACAAAACGCGTCAAAAGGATCATTTTTCTCCAGTCTTCTACGTGTTTGCATTGAAAAATAAATACAAATTACACTAAAATATACACTTTGTCGTTTACTTGATTGTGCCTAGAATGTTTAAAATACTCGTCATATCATACACTATTGAATTTCTTGAAAAACGTTCTGCACAGCCCATTTCTCACTTCTAATTCTTTATAACTCGCCCTTGATAAGGCGCCTTATTTCTCCATTTCAAAACCTGGATTAGTGACCCCATTTTTCCTATTGCTTAGTCCGTTCAAGACGGGGCTTCCAATTTGAGCCTCCTTAGGGGTCGTGGATAAAATCACGTCTTGAAAAACTGAGTCCGGGGGTCCACTTTCGGCATCTTTGGTGCTACTAACCTTGGCTTCTTTTCTGTGTTGGACATACATCCAACTGGAAAGAAAATTTAGTAAAAATTACCAACCTTGGTCTAGTCTTACCCAAAAATCACCACAGCGGGTATGGTTAGGATACCCCCGAGGATGTAAAAGGCCCCAGGCATTACGTTAATTGTTGCTGCGTAGGTGGCGTTGTACATGGGTCCGTACACCAGGGGCATTAAGGCTTCACAAGCCCCAAATAGAGAATTCACCTTACCTGCAATACAATGTAACAAATGACTTTGTATAATAAATCATGTTTATTTTTTGGGTTTTTTGGATTTTTAAATTTTTTGAATTCATGTTTATTTTTTGGGTTTTTTGGATTTTTAAATTTTTTGAATTGTTTTTTTTTTTGTTTTGTTTTTTAGTTTATTTGGCTCTTTTGGATGTCTTGGATTTTTTGGATAATTCTTAATTTTTTATTTTTTATTTTCCGATTTTTGGCACACTTTCGGTTTTTTGGATTTTTTAGATTTATTGGTTTTACTGAAAATTTGGATTTTTGGATTTTTTGAATAATTGTAATGTTTTATTTATTTTATTTTCTGATTTTTGAGTATTTGGAATTTTTAGTACACTTTCGATTTTTTGGATTTGTGGAATGATTGGAATCCTTGAATTCTCTTGAGTTACTTCGGTTTCTTTGATTTTTTAGAATTATTGGATTTGAAAATCTTAATTGTTTTTTAATTTTTAGATTTTGTATTTTTTTTAATGTTTGAGACTTTTTGTATTTTTTTTTTAATCGAAAAATCGCAAATCGAAAAACTGAAAAGAAAAAGAAACGAACTGAAACGAAAAATTGGGAAACCTAAAAATTGTGAAATCGAAAAATCTAGAATCGTCAAAATTATAAAGTCGAAAAACTGTAAAATTGAAAAATTAAAAATCGCAAAAATGAAAAAGTTTTAAAAGTCAATAACTGAAAATGATTTTTCAGGATTTTTTGGATTTTCTGGATTTTAATGGATTTTTTTTTAATTTCATAAATTTGTTGGACTTTTGTCGATTTTCTAAGTTTTTTTAGGTTTATTCAATTTTTTGAATTTTTTGGATTTACTGGATAATATTTAATTTTTCGTTGTTTTTGGATGTATTCAATTTTTTAGATAATTATTAATTTTTTATTTTTTTATTTTCTGATATTTGTATGTTTTGGATTTTTGGGATACTTTGTAGTGGGAAAATTATCTGTAGAGGCAGATTTTTTAAAGTTTCCATTTTATACATTTTCGTTTCCTCATTTTTGATTTTTCAAAATTACTAGTTTGTAATTTTTCCATTTTATTAATTCGTAAAGTTGAAAAAACCGAAAAACTAAAAAATCAGAAAAAATTAGAAAAATCGAAAAACGAGAAAGAAGAAGAAGAAAAAATCAATAGAAAAGTTGAAAAATCGGACAAATAAAAAAATTTTTGGTTTATTTGGAATTGTTTAGATACTCTGAGTTTTTCTGGATTTAACTGGATTTTTTGGATTCGTTTGGTTTTTTCTAACTTTTGGATTTATTCCATGTTTTGGATTTTTTGAATAATTGTTATTTTCTGCTTATTTTATTTTCTGATTTTTGTATTTTTAGGAATTTTGGGATACTTTCGATTTTTTGGATTTGTGGCATTTGTAAATTCCTTGATTTTTTGAATTTTTTTGTATTTTCTTGGATGTTTCAATTCCCTTGTTATTTTAGAATTTTTTATTAATACTTGTTTTTGATTTTTTTTTTGTTTTGTTTGGCTTTTTCGGATATCTTAGATTTTTTGGAATTTTCTGGATTTTTGAATAATTTTTAATTTTTGCAGTTTTGGATTATTTCAATTTTTTGGATAATTGTTATTTTTTGCTTTTTTATTTTATAAATTTTGGATGTTTTGAATTTTCGGAATACATTGTAGTTGGAAAATTCTTTGTAGATACAGATTTTTCGATTTTATGAATTAGAAAGTTGAAAAATCGAAAAATTAAAACCGAAAAAGTAAAAAATCGGAAAAAATTTGAAAAATCGAATAATTGCAAATCGAAAAATTACAAAGAAAAAGAAGAAGAAGAAGAAAAAACCGATCGAAAAATTGGGAAACGTAAAAATTGTAAAATCAAAAAATCTAGGATAGTCAAAATTCTAAAGTCGAAAAACTAACATTGAAAGATAGAAAAATTGAAAAATTAAAATTCGCAAAATTGAAAAATCGAATAAACGAAAAAGTTTTAACAGCCAATAATTGAAAACAATTTTTTTGATTTTTTAAATTTTCTGGATTTTTATGGATTTTTTTGAAGTTTTGGTTTGTTTGGATTTTTTTAATTTCTTAATTGGATTTTCTGAGATTCGTTTGGTTTTCTTGACCCCTTGACTTTATTCAATTTTTTGGATTTTTTTAAATTCACTGGAAATTGTTGGATATCTTGGATTTCTTGAATTTTTTGTCGAAAAACTGTAAAATTGAAAAATTAAAAATCGCAAAAATGAAAATGATTTTTTGGGATTTTTTGGATTTTGTGGATTTTAATGGATTTTTTTTAATTTCATAAATTTGTTGGACTTTTGTCGATTTTCTAAGTTTTTTTAGGTTTATTCAATTTTTTGAATTTTTTTAGATTTATTTTGGATTTATTTGGATTTTTCGAGTTTGTTCGATTTTTTGGATCTCTTGGATTTTTTGGAATTTTCTGGATTTTCTGGATGATTTTTAATTTTTCGTTGTTTTTGGATGTATTCAATTTTTTGGATAATTATTATTTTTTTATTTTTTTATTTTCTGATATTTGTATGTTTTGGATTTTTGAGAGTGGGAAAATTATCTGTAGAGGCAGATTTTTCAAAGTTTCCATTTTATACATTTTCGTTTCTTCATTTTTGATTTTTCAAAATTACTAGTTTGTAATTTTTCCATTTTATTGATTCGTAAAGTTGAAAAAACGAAAAACGGGAAAGAAGAAGAAGAAAAAATCAATAGAAAAGTTGAAAAATCGGATAAATAAAAAAATTTTTGGTTTATTTGGAATTGTTTAGATATTCTGAGTTTTTTTGGATTCAACTGGATTTTTTGGATTCGTTTGGTTTTTTGTAACTTTTGGATTTATTCCAGGTTTTGGATTTTTTGAATAATTGTTATTTTCTGCTTATTGTATTTTCTGATTTTTGTATTTTTAGAAATTTTTGAATACTTTCGACTTTTTGGATTTGTGGAATTTGTAAATTCCTTGATTTTTTGAATTTTTTTGGATATTTCCGATTTTTTTGATTAGTGGACATGTTGAGTTGCTTGGATTTCTTGCATTTCTAGGTTTTTTTGAATTTTCATTGGAATATTCTGGAATGTGATGGATTTTTTGGATTTCTTCAATTTTTTGAATTTTTTTGGATGTTTTAATTCCCTTGCTTTTTTTAGAATTTTTTATTAATACTTATTTTTGATTTTTTTTGGTTTTGTTTGGCTTTTTTGGATATCTTGGATTTTTTGGAATTTTCTGGATTTTTGAATAATTTTTAATTTTTGCAGTTTTGGATTATTTCAATTTTTTGGATATTGTTATTTTTGCTTTTTTATTGTGTAAATTTTGGATTTTTTGAATTTTTGGAATACATTGTAGATACAGATTTTTCGATTTTATGAATTAGAAAGTTGAAAAATCGAAAAATTAAAACCGAAAAACTAAAAAATCGGAAAAAATTTGAAAAATCGAATAATTGCAAATCGAAAAACTACAAAGAAAAAGAAGAAGAAGAAGAAAAAACCGATCGAAAAATTGGGAAACGTAAAAATTGTGAAATCAAAAAATCTAGGATAGTCAAAATTCCAAAGTCAAAAAACTGTAACATTGAAAGATAGAAAAATTAAAAAATTAAAATTCGCAAAATTGAAAAATCGAATAAACGAAAAAGTTTAAACAGCCAATAATTGAAAACAATTTTTTTTTAATTTTTAAATTTTCTGGATTTTTATGGATTTTTTTGAAGTCTTGGTTTGTTTGGATTTTTTGGATTTTTTTTATTTCTTAATTGGATATTCATTTGGTTTTCTTGACCTCTCGGATTTATTCAATTTTTTGGATTTTTTTAAATTCATTGTAAATTGTTGGATATCTTGGATTTCTTGAATTTTTTTTTTAATTTTTAGATTTTGATTTTTTTTAATTTTTTGAAATTTTAGATCTTCGTATTTTTGTATTAATTTGATTTTTTGGTTTTTTTAATTTTTCAATGTTACAATTTTTCGTTTTTCCATTTTTTAATTTTTCAGCTATGAGATTTTTCAAGACAATTTAATTTTACAGTTTTTGGTTTTTTTATTTCCTTGATGTTTTCAAATCTTTCTTTCGATTCTGTAATTTTTCGTTTACTCAGTTTTAAAAATTTATGATTTCTCAAATCCTCGATTTTCCAATTTTTAATTTTTTAATTTAGCAAATTTTGGATTTCGCAATTATCCAATTTTCAGTATCAAATTTCGTTTTACGATTTTTAAATTTTTCAGTGTTACAATTTTTTGTTTTTTAATTTTTTAATTTTTCGATTTTTCAGTTATTTTCTGATATTTGTATGTTTTATTTTTGGGATACTTTGTAGTGAGAAAATTATCTGTAGAGGCAGGTTTTTTAAAGTTCCCATTTTATACATTTTCGTTTCTTCATTTTTGATTTTCCAAAATTACTAGTTTGTTATTTTTCCATTTTATTGATTCGTAAAGTTGAAAAAACCGAAAAACTAAAAAATCGGAAAAAATTAGAAAAATCGAAAAACGAGAAAGGAGAAGAAAAAATCAATAGAAAAGTTGAAAAATCGAATAAATAAAAAAATTTTTGGTTTACTTGGAGTTGTTTGGATAATCTGAGTTTTTTTGAATTTAACTGGATTTTTTGGATTCGTTTGGTTTTTTGTAACTTTTGGATTTATTCCATGTTTTGGATTTTTTGAATAATTGTTATTTTCTGCTTATTTTATTTTCTGATTTTTGTATTTTTAGGAATTTTGGGATACTTTCGATTTTTTGGATTTGTGGAATTTGTAAATTCCTTGATTCTTTGAATTTTTTTGAATTTTTATTGGAATATTCTGGAATGTGTTGGATTTATTGGATTTCTTCAATTTTTGAATTCTTTTGGATTTAATTCCCTTATTTTTTTTAGAATTTTTTATTAATACTTATTTTTGATTTTTTTTTGTTTTGTTTGACTTTTTTGGATATCTTGGATTTTTTGGAATTTTCTGGATTTTTGAATAATTTTCAATTTTTGCAGTTTTGGATTATTTCAATTATTTGGATAATTGTTATTTTTTGCTTTTTTATTTTATAAATTTTAGATTTTTTGAATTTTTGGGATACATTATGGTTGAAAAATTATTTGTAGATAGAGATTTTTCGATTTAAGAATTAGAAAGTTGAAAAATCGAAAAATTAAAACCGAAAAACTAAAAAATCGGAAAAAATTCGATAAAAATTGAATAATTGCAAATCGAAAAACTACAAAGAAAAAGAAGAAGAAGAAGAAAAAACCGATCGAAAAATTGGGAAACGTATAAATTGTAAAATCAAAAAATCTAGGATAGTCAAAATGCTAAAGTCGAAAAACTAACATTGAAAGATAGAAAAATTGAAAAATTAAAATTCGCAAAATTGAAAAATCGAATAAACGAAAAAGTTTCAACAGCCAATAATTGAAAATAATTTTTTTTTGAGTTTTTAAATTTTCTGGATTTTTATGGATTTTTTTGAAGTCTTGGTTTGTTTGAATTTTTTGGATTTTTTTTATTTCTTAATTGGATATTCGTTTGGTTTTCTTGACCTCTCGGATTTATTCAATTTTTTGGACTTTTTTAAATTCACTGGAAATTGTTGGATATCTTGGATTTCTTGAATTTTTTTTCTTTTTTAATTTTTAGATTTTGAATTTTTTTATTTTTTTCATATTTTAGTTCTTTGTATTTTTGTTTTAATTTGATTTTTTGGGTTTGTGTAATTTTTTTGGACCTCTTGGATTTTTGAAAATTTCTGGATTTTTCGAATAATCTTCATTAGGTCATTATTAGTTTTTGTATTTATTCAATTTTTGGATAATTATTATTTTTTGCTTTTTTTTTAATTTCTCATTTTTAGATTTTTTGTATTTTTTCGTATTTTCAATTTTTTATATTTTTGAGTTTCTTGGGTTTTTTGTATTTTTTTGGAATAATTTTAGTCAAAGCTTCTTTTAGCCTAAAATCCGCTCTTTAATCATCATGCCAAGTTTATTGAAATTAACGTCAAAAAATCAGTAAGTTCAAAAATCTTTACCACATAGATGATCTCAACCCACCAAGTGACTCTGCACTTACGCCCTCAGTCCAACTCACCCAGCTCATCCGGGGGCACCAACTTCGACGCGATCGACCGCATAGCAATGAACGACGTCCCGTTGAGGATCTCGACAATGGCGCCTGCACAAATCGGAATGTTAATGATGAATTGACGACCTTTCGCACGTTTTGTCTAGGACAATCGCTCGACTGAATGAACAGGAAGCGACCTGGGATCGGGAAGGACGCCCCATTGGCGGCTAATTGACGTCCCAAGGTTGGTATCAGTTGCCGTCATTACGTACCTAAATAGAAGACCAGCGAGGTTTTGGCGAAGCCGTAGACGAAGCTCGACAGGATTTTGCTCATGGAGGAGTAGATCCCGATGATGGCGTCGTCGATCTTCAGGCAGTGGCTGAAGACCCCCACGGAGATGGAGGTCCCGATCAGGTTGGTGATCATGCTGTAGGTGGAGAACATGCTGTAGTCGACTTCGTCCCAGTTGAAGCGGTAGCGGGTGAATAAGTACGTCACGCTCATCTCGCCTGGAATAAAAATAATAATTATTACTATTATTATTATTATTATTATTATTAATGTTAATATTATCATAACCGATTTTTACAGAACTTGATACATAAATTTTATATTAAATTTTCATATTAAATGGATTTTTTTCTTGAATTTTCATTATTTTAGTTTTTTGGTTGTTTATGATGTCATATTTCAAAAATTGTTAAAAATTTTGTCTTAGTTCTTTAACTGTAATATAATAACCAATCAATTTTTTTTACACTTACACAAAATTTTTAATTTTTCAATTTTTCGATTCTTCAGTTTTTCATTTCTTCAAATTTTTTCTTTCAGTTTTTCATTTTCCTAATTTTTACAATTTTTCAATTTTTCAATGCTCCGATTTTACAATTTTTTATATTTTCAATTTCACTTTTTTGATTTTCAATGTTTTGACTTTTCAGATTTTAGCTTTATTAATTTTTCCGACTTTGTAGTTTTTTGATTTTTAATTTTTCGATTTTTCAATTCTTTGGTTATCTTTTGGAATCAAAAAAATTGGAAAATCAAAAATGAAAAAATTAGAAGATACAAAAGAGCCAAACAAGCCCAAAAAAATTAAAATATGAATAAAAAAAGTCTAAAAAGTCCAAAAAAATTGAAGCAATCTAAAAGATCAAGAAAATCAAACGCACCTCAAAAAATCCAATTGAATCCAAAAAATTTTAAAAATCCAAAAGAATCCAAACCAATTTAAGAACTTAAAAAGAATCCAAAAAAATTCCAAACAAATCAAAACTTCAAAAAAAATCCATAAAAATCCAAAAAATTAAAAAAATTAAAAAAAATCATTTTCAATTATTGGCTTTTAAAACTTTTTCATTCACTCGATTTTTTAATTTTACGTTTCCCAGTTTTTCGATCCATTTTTTCTTCTTTGCAATTTTCCGATTTTTCAAATTTTTTCCGATATTTTAGTTTTTCGGTTTAAATTTTTTCCATTTTTCAACTTTCCCAATCAATAAAATCGAAAAATCTGCGTCTACAAATAATTTTTCCGCTACAAAGCACCTCAAAAATCTAAAAAATCAAAAAATTTAGAAAATAAAAAAGCAATAACAATTATCCAAAAAATTGAAATAATCCAACTACAAAAAATTTAAAATTATTCAAAAATTCACAAAGTTCCAAAAAAATAAAAACCCAAAACAACAAATCAAAAAAATACAAAAAATTATAAAAATCCAGAATTTAAAATTTAAAAAAAAAACAAAAAATTGAAGAAATCCAAAAAAATGCAACAAATTCCAGAGTATTTCAAATTATTATTTTTATTTATTTATTTTTTTAGATTGTTTTTGGGTTTGTTTGGTTTTTCGGATCTTTTGGATTTTCTGGATAATTTTTTATTTTTTATTTTTGGATTAATTCAATTCAATAAAAAAATAAAAATTATGAATTTACAAATTCCAATAATTCTAAAAAAGCCAAGAAACCCAAGATAACTCAAAATAATTCAAGAATTCCAATCATTCCATGCATCCAAAAAATCGAAAGGATCTCAAAAATGCAAAAATCGGAAACCAAAATAAGCAAAAAATAACAATTATTCAAAAAAAAGGAAAAATTTAATAAAACCAAATAAATCTAAAAAAATCCAATTATATCCAAAAAATTGAGAAAATCCAAAAAAATTCAAATAAATTTGAGAAATTAACAAAACTCAAACTACAAAACTCCAAAAATCCAATATCCAGAAAATTCGATTTTTCAATTTTGCGATTTTTAATTTTTTTCGATCGATTCGTTCTTTCTTGTTTCCGATTTTTTAATTTTTAGGTTTTAATTTTTCGATTAAAATACAGAAACTCTAAAAATCCAAAAAATAAATCCAAAAAATCCAAGAAACTCAAGTAGCTCAAAAAAACCCCACAACTTCAATGATTCCAAAAATCCAAAAACTCCAAAAATCACAAAATAAAAGAGTAAAAGATACAACTATCCAAAAAAATTGAATAAATCCAATAACTACAAAAAATTAAATACTATCCAAAATATCTAAAAGATTCCAAAAAATTCAAGACATCCAAAAAACCAAACAAACCAAAAAGAAATAAAAAAATCCCAAAAAAAACAAACAAAACCAAAAATCCAAATAAATACAAAAAAATATATAAAAAAATCAAGAAAAGAAATCCAAGAAATTTAAAAAATCCAGAAAAACCAAAAAAACCCAAGAAATGCAAGAAACTTAAGCAACTCAAGATATCCAGTAATCCAAAAAATCGGAGATATCCAAAAAAATTAAAAAAATCCAAACATCAAAAAATTTACAAAATCTCATAATTCTAAATAATCCAAGAAACCCAAGTCACTCAAAAGAATTCATGAATGCCAATCATTCCACATCCAAAAAAATAGAAAGTATCCCAAAAATCCTGAAAATGCAAACAAAAAATAAAATAATACAAAAATAACAATTATTCAAAAAATTTTTAAAAATGAATAAACCCACAAGATCAAAAAAAATTCAAATGAATCCAAAAAAATCCAATTAAAGCCAAAAAAATTTAGGAAATCCAAAAAAATTAAAAAAAATCCAAACAAATTTAAGAAATTGAAAAAAGAATTTAAAAAAATGTAAACAAACTAATATTTCCAAACAAATCTTTAAAAGTCAAACAAAATCATAATATGTCAATTAATTTTGTCTTTTAAAACTTTTTGCTTTGTTCGACTTTACAATTTTGGGATTTTTAATTTTTCAGTTTTACAGTTTTTCGTCTCTACAATTTTTAGGTTTTGTAATTTTTCGATAGATTCGTTTTTTCTTCTTTCCAATTTTTCGGTTTGCAATTTTTCGACTTTTCAGATTTTAGCTTTATTAATTTTTTGTCTTTTCAGTTTCTCGATTTTTTAGTTTTTTCCGATTTTTTAGTTTTTTGATTTTTAATTTTTCGATTTTTCAATTCTTTGGTTATTCAACTTTTAGAATCAAAAAAATTGGAAATCAAAGACTTGAAAAAGTGAAGAAACGAAAAACTGCAAATTCGAAACATTAAAAAATTGAGAAATTTAAAAATCCAAAAAACGAAATTTGGTAAAATCGAAACATTGAACATCAAAGTATTCAGAAAATAAAAACCAAGAAATTGAAAAATTGAGGGAACGAGAAACTGAAAAATCGAAAAATTAAAAACAAAAAATTGTAACACTGAAAAATTTAAAAATCGTAAAAACGTAATTTGATATTGAAAATTGGATAATTGCGAAATCCAAAATTTGCTAAATTAAAAAAATTAAAAATTGAAAAATCGTGATAATTGAGAAGTCATAAATTTTTAAAACTGAGTAAACGAAAAATTACAGAATCGAAAGAAACATTTGAAAACATCAAGGAAATAAAAAACAAAAAACTATAAAATCAGATTGTCTTGAAAAATCTCATCGCTGAAAAATTAAAAAATGGAAAAACGAAAAATTGTAACATTGAAAAATTAAAAAAACCCAAAAAATCAAATTAATACAAAAATACGAAGATATAAAATATCAAAAAAATAAAAAAATTCAAAATCTAAAAATTAAAAAAGAAAAAAATTCAAGAAATCCAAGATATCCAACAATTTCCAGTGAATTTAAAAAAATCCAAAAAATTGAATAAATCCGAGAGGTCAAGAAAACCAAACGAATATCCAATTAAGAAATAAAAAAAATCCAAAACATCCAAACAAACCAAGACTTCAAAAAAAATACATAAAAATCCAGAAAATTTAGAAAATCATTTTTCAATGTTACAGTTTTTCGACTTTAGAATTTTGACTATCCCAGATTTTTTGATTTTACAATTTTTACGTTTCTCAATTTTTCGATCGGTTTTTTCTTCTTCTTCTTCTTATTCTTTGTACTTTTTCGATTTGCAATTATTCGATTTTTCAAATTTTTTCCGATTTTTTAGTTTTTCGGTTTTAATTTTTTGATTTTTTAACTTTCTAATTCATAAAATCAAAATTCTGTATCTACAAAGAATTTTCCAACTACAATGTATTCCGAAAATTAAAAAAATCCAAAATTTATAAAATAAAAAAGCAAAAAATAACAATTATCCAAAAAATTGAAATAATCCAAAACTGCAATAATTAAAAATTATTCAAAAATCCAGAAAATTCCAAAAAATCCAAGATATCCAAAAAGCCAAACAAAACCAAACAAAAAATCAAAAATAAGTATTAATAAAAAATTCTAAAAAAACAAGAGAATTAAACATCCAACAAAATTCAAAAAATCGAAGAAATCCAAAAAATCCAACACATTCCAGAATATTCCAATAAAAATTCAATGAAACCTAGAAATGCAAGAAACCCAAGCAACTCAAGATGTCCACTAATAAAAAAAATCGGAAATATCAAAAAAAATCAAAAAAATTCAAAAAATCAAGGAATTTACAAATTCCACAAATCCAAAAAATCGTGTCCCAAAATTCCTAATAATACAAAAATCAGAAAATAAAATAAGCAGAAAATAACAATTATTCAAAAAATCCAAAACATGGAATAAATCCAAAAGTTACAAAAAACCAAACGAATCCAAAAAATCCAGTTAAATCCAAAAAAAATCAGAGTTTCTAAACAATTCCAAATAAACCAAAATTTTTTTTATTTATCCGATTTTTCAACTTTTCTAATGATTTTTTCTTCTTCTTTCTCGTTTTTCGGTTTTTCTAATTTTTTCAGATTTTTTAGTTTTTCGGTTTTTTCAACTTTACGAATCAATAAAATGGAAAAATTACAAACTGATAATTTTGAAAAATCAAAAATGAAGAAACGAAAATGTATAAAATTGAGACTTTAAAAAATCTGCCTCTACAGATAATTTTCCCACTACAAAGTATCCCAAAAATCCAAAACATACAAATATCAGAAAATAAAAAAATAAAAAAATAATAATTATCCAAAAAATTGAATACATCCAAAAACCACGAAAAATTAAAAATTATCCAGAAAATCCAGTAAATTCCAAAAAATCCAAGAGATCC